AGGGTTTCTTCGCATTTATTGTTCTCAAGGGTCCACTGACTGAACGAGGGCTCACTGCCTGATCGACGGTCCAATTTGACACTGAATAGACTACACTGGCCCACTCCTTCTTATAATCAAACAAGGTAGAAATCCATCATCTTACAAAGCATACATCAGCCTCTTCATTTGTTTGTCAACTAAGGCGGTTCACTTAGAGTTGATCACAGACTTAAGTACTGATTTATTAAATATGTAGGCTGGCTCACGAGCTAGGAGATGCCTATCATCTCAGGAGGATGTGCAGTGGGCCTAATGAGGCCTAAGTGCCGTGGAGGTAACCCACCCTCGACATATTACAGATACAAAGAAGTACTGATTTATTTTTCGCTGCTTTAAAGCGTTTAATTGCAAGAAAAGGCAAACCTACGCAAATTATGTTAGATATTGAAACTAACAAATAGAGTTGGTCAATATTTTACGAAATGTCATTTAATCATTGATATTTAAAATCATGATATGGCTCTACTCTTTTTCTTCTGAACGTCTTTGTCTGTAAATACTTGCTGGGCTCTGTACCTAAACGCTTTATCAAGTATTGACAGGCATGTAAATCCTTAAAGAAACTCAGTGAACAGTCTATGAATTATTACTACTAGGTACTTTAAAATGTCAGTGAGTCAGTGAATAAATGAAAGGTCGTGAAACTCTAATAAAGATTCATTAAAGTTTATAGATCTGTAAGTTATAGACAAACGCACTACATAATTCCGTTTTTCCCTTTTGAATCTGACCAATAATTGCCGGGATATAGACTTAGGTCCTTTTGGTATTGCTACTGCGCATATTTTTTTTTATTTAACGTTTCTCTATACCACGCCCCCTACATAATGCCGTTTTTCTCATTTGAATATGACCAAGAATAGCTGAAATAATAACTAATACTCTTTTGCTTTTGACATTGCGCATGATTTTTCTATTCAACGTTTATCTATACATATTCGCTTAGCAGAGTCACAAACCACTTAGCGAAGTTTCAACTCCCAACGCTGACAGATGGCGCGATCTAGCGGCGAATTATAGAACTGTGTGCCCGTATGCACTTTGCTCGTCTACTCAGATCGTTTGTAAATTAGGTTGTAATATCAAAGAATGGAGATAACTGAAGCTTTCCTAAATGTTACAGATGTTTAAATTAAAAAAAGAACTTGTGTCAATACAAATAATGAAGATACATTTTTTGGAAATGGAACATTACAGTATTTCTAAATTTTAAATAATTTTGGCTTCCGAAACTCTATATTCACCTTTTAATTATTGTTGATTTTAGGCTGTGAAGAGTGAATATTCATGTTTTAACCTTAAATAAAATTCTATTTTTAAATAAATTGAACATGCACAAACTCATCTTAAAAATGCCTATAGTACCATCTTATTCCTAAGAACCTACTTGTATGTAAAACATAAAAATATGTGAAAACTCCTCAAAAAAATAAATGTATTATATGTTAATACTAAAATCCTATCTATGTAAGAAAATAATCAAAATAAATTATATAGAAGCATTGCATTATAATTTGTTTTATTAAAAAAAACCTGTATAATTTATTTTGATTTTTTTGGTATTCAAGCGAAATATCCCATTGCTGTTTTAGAGATTGTAGAATGTTAAAATAAGTCAGTAAAAAGTACTTATTTGTATTTATTTTAAAAGTTATATTATCATAACCACTGAGAAAAAAATATTCATGTATAATCCTATTTTTTACAATTTTTGTCTGTATATTAACAAAATAATGATTTCATATTTATTAGTATTAACAATTTTTACTAAGATCCCAAATGCCTGATGTAAACCAGAGGAAACATTAAAACACTACCACACAATGCCTTTTTATTATTCTCTCTAGGTCATTTTCTTTACTGTAATCCAATTGGTGACTAAAATTAAGTTTTGATAGAACATTGTGTGTAGAGATCTTTTTCTCTCTGAAAAATTCCTTACCGATTTTCCAAATTTTGAGATACAATATTTATATACCTATGCTGGGTGGGTGAGGTTTTCCGGGTTTTCCTCACCTGTAAGTAAATCAAATGCGATTAGTGCAGAACAAATAAAATCCACTATTAGATATAAAATCCGCGATTCAAGCTAAACGATACGCCCTCTGGAGGAAATTTGTAAAAGACGTTTATAAGTAGGATTTTTTTCAGTGTTGCCAGCAGCAGCAGCAGCAGCAAATTTTCGTTACGTCTGCGGATTTTTAGCCTTTAATGAACTAAGAAAAACCTTATTTTAAGTAGCAGAATTTGTATCTACCAATATGTGATTTCTTTTCTTTGGTTTTCTAACAACAATTTAGTTTTTTTACATATCGGTGCCCGGTTTGTTACCAGACACTCCAAAAATTTTGAAATCTCGAGTCGACTTTTTGAACCTTACAATAAGTTCTCAGCCAACATGATACTTCGTATTTGGATAGTTATTAATTAAAAAATAATACATCGACCTAAATACATACACAAAAAATAGACGTATAAATTGATTATGATTAAAATTATGTCAAAATAAAATTGTAATAAGTAGAGACCTCCCTCGGTTTGAAATAAAAATATGCGCCTGACAAAAAATTATATTACATCAGGGCTGGTATATCTAAGGGGGTCGCGACATAGGAGTCCATTTTGGACGCCATTTTTTTCGAAATAGTAGTCGCCATTGATCTGGCAACGTGGCAACTTGTAGTCGCCAGGTTTACCAATATAAGAAAAAAAATCAATGTCATTTCCATTATAAAATGCCCATATTTTTTTAGGATAAAATATTTCAATTTAATAAATTATTAATCTCAGATGTACATAAAATACGTCGGGAAAAGTAGATCACTTTCAATTTTGTGCTGTTTTAGTTTTGTTTATTTTAAAAGGTAATTGAAGAGATGATAATTTTCTTATAGATGATGCATAACAAATTATTGCTCCCTTTTTTAGAGCTCCAGTCCCTTATGTCTATTTATTTTAGGTCTTTTTAAATTGTTGGTACGTATTATTCACTTCATTTGTATGTTTCTAGTTAATTTAAATAATTTTGTGTAATATCTTGCGATTTGTTTTCTATACATTTTAGCATGTATTTGTTGTCTACATCTTACAAAGGATGGATTTGAAATACCTTTACAACAGAGGTACTTTCCTAAAACTGGCCGAAATTTGAAACTGAATACAGTTCTTAGAGAAAATCTCCAGTAAAAAATGTCTGCATGCAGAATAACAGTAGCATAGATTAACAAAGCTGACAAAAGAGTTGGACAAACCTTTGTCTAGCTTTTTTAATATTTCAGGACAATAGTGTTAACAGCAGACTACAACAAAAACATCCAAAGTTTAGTAATCAAGCAAAATATTCCGGTATCTATATTTTTATTCAAAACTTTTGTGCTTCTACTCCAATACTAACCATATAGAAGCATATGCATTTTATAGTATTTGCAAGATTCTGATCAAATGTACCCACAATTTATAAAGATTATTAAACTAAAATAAAACATTTCAAATAACACCTGCTTTTATGTTAAATATGTTTTTATTAAATATATATATTAGTCTCAACCACACAATTTTTTTTGTTTTTACTTCTAGTGTAAAAGTGACTACTAATTCAGTCTTTCAAGTTTATGATTTATAGAGACCAGCTACTACAAAATATCTTATTGATGATAACTAATTTCTCTTTAATAATGGTTTTGCATTTATTAACATTTTACAGCACTTTGTTTATATGAAACCTCTATTTAACTCTTAATTAAATCACATTTAAATCAAGTAATTACATTTTCATATTCAACTTATGTATTCTTATTAGAACTTGGTCACTTTTCTTTACTTTAAATCTTTTGACTGTGGTAACAGTCCATTCACCAAACCACAGTCACTTAAAAATGTTGAAAGAGAATGTCATAAAGGTAAAATTCCTTCTTCTATCATGTTTTTCATGCAATTTTAGGTTGTAAACGTTTTGTCCAACACCTTTTTTACAATTTATCCCAAGCAACACTATGAAAGATTTAAATCCTGGATTTACAGCATTCAGTTTTGAGATGAGTGCAATCACAATGTAGTTTAAGAGATAATTTTCACATGAACACTTATTCACCACAGCACAAACGCATGTAACATTAAAATAAAGTGGAAACAAATTGCATAATTTGGTATATAAAAAAGTACAAAATGTTTTTAGTTTTAATTCGACATTGGACTACGAGGAAAACAGTGGTTCATTCCACTTGTACCATATTGACATTATTATGCACGATGCTCGTTCAAACGAACGTCAGAAAAGTGTTGCCAACTTAAGCTGACTACTATTTCCCCCCTAGCCTCAGTCACCCCCTCATCCATTTACTGGGTCTATGTCGCGACCCCCTTAGATATACCAGCCCTGATATTACATATAATAATCTGTAATGGTGGTTGCATATAAAGTAGGTAAGGAATTTAGAGACCTACAGCTGAGCCCAGCTGATAACTTATTTTTTTACTAAAATCTCGTTCTTTTCTAGTTTCCAACTCCAACCTTGCCTATTCCACATTTAATATATTCAATCATTCGTACTGTTTCAGTCTTAAAAATGCACAATTCTTGTGTTTTTAAATTATATCTTTTTTTATATAATTAAAACGTGTCTTGGTTTCTGCTCTTCTTCCTTATTTTAAATTATAACATAAACAAAAAATACTGATACCAAATTTCCAAAGGCAAGTTCGGATAGTCAGGGGCTGGAGCGGGACAAATTTTAGGGTGCTTTTAAATGACATTTAAGCGTGTTAAACTATCACTAATCGGACTAAACCGAACGCTAAAAGGGTCGTTTGGAGTTAAAAGTGTTAAAGGAGTTAAAGGAACTTGGTAGACCGAACGCAATGCAAGTAGAGTCGTACTTGGTAGCTTAAAATGGCTAACTTCCGGCGTAGTGACGTTTTAAAAATTGGGGACGGTTGGCGGCACTGTTTGTCGTTTGTCACCTGTCAGTACTGTTATTTTTATTGTTGTCTTTTGAGGTTAAAGTAACAAGTAACACCGTATAAAATTATAATTTATAATTGTTTTTATCCTGTTTTTTATTATTGAAACGATGGATATAAAACAAGAACTTTTCGATCCTGATTGCCACGCTATTAACGCCGACTCAGATCTTGTTTCCAATGAATCAAATGAAAACGATTCACGAGAAATACAAATGTTTAAAAACGAACATAAAGGTGTGTTTGTTAATTTGGACAATAATTTTAAATATCATTCAATGGGACTCTCTGAAGAAACTAACCGAGAACTTATTCTATGTAAAATGCCTAAAATTGAGCAAATTTTGGCCACAGATATTAAACAAGAACTTCCTGAAGACACTGAAGTTAAAGCCACTGATATGTTAGTGAACATTAATGATATCAAACAAGAAGTTGGTGAATTTGTACAACCTAAAATTGAGAATGAATTTTTGTCTTTGACATCGTCTTGCGATTTGGGATATTTGAAAAGTGAAATTGCCAATTATACAGAATATTTCGAACAGCCGTGTGGTAGCAACCAAGTCAAAAGGATAACGAAATCTTTAAAAGGTACAGCAAATCATGTTCTTAAGAAGAAAAGAAGTTATCCATGTCCTATCTGCCTAAAAAGTAAGTATTTAATTATAATATCTAAATGCAAAAATAATAGATGGATGTATGGTGTTTTTAAATTAGTGCCCCATAGAAAACAAACTTTTTTAATTAGATGGTAGTTTTCCTTTTTATTTTTATTGTTGCATCAAATAGCTACCAATATTAGAAGATAAGTGATATTATTTTAATACATATATTAAAAGTCATTTTAAAAAACTGACTTTATAATTGTGCAGATGCCATCACCACATCTTGACCAAATTTATATGAGACCACTCCTGAGGCATCACCTTACTAACAAAAAAAGAATCATAGAAATCAGACAAGGTGGTAAAGAATTATTGCTAAATATACTTAAAAAATAAAGAGTTTGAGGATTTTCTCATTGACCCAATTATTTGATTTTGACCAAATTAATATGGGACCACCCCTGAAGTACCTACCCCCTTTCTAACAAAAAAGAATCAGTGAAATCGAACACTGTGTTAAAGAATTATTGATGAACATACATAAAAATATATATATCGACTAATTGAGAATCTCCTCCTTTTTTGATAAGATATTGTTAAATTAATAATAATTAATAATAATATAATAATTCTTTATTTCAGGGGTATGTTACAGATACATAAAACGAAATAGAGTCAAACAAAATACATAAACAATATTGTTTTAGGTCATCAAAAACTCATTTAGATTATATGGTTCCCTGTTAACTAAATATATAAATAACACTTTCTTGATTTCTGTCAATTCATTAATTGTTTTAATATACCTATCTGGGAAAACTGTTGAATATTTTGATAGAGTTATAGTAGGCTCCACATTCTGTCATTGTTAACTTGTGGTGTGGATAGATATAGTCTTGGTTTCTAGTGGGATACATTGACTGCGATTTACTAGTGCCGAAAAGATGTTTGTTTTTAATAAAAAACAAAGCACATTCCTGTAAATAGATTGCTGTCAATGTTAATAATTTATTTTGTTTAAACTTTCCTCTACATGAGTCTCCTACTTTCATTCCTAAAATAATTTGCAGAGCTTGTTTTTCAATTTCAATACAACTTCCATAAATTATAATACCATACCTAATATTACTTTCAATTGTAGAATTATATACTATTTTTAAGATCTAGATATTTCTTTAATACTCTAAGACTATATGTCACTCTACCAAGTTTTTGTCATGTGTACTCCACATGATCAGACCAAGACATGTTGTTATCCAACACCATTCCAAGAAATTTGACACTTTTCTGTGGGGCCAGTAAAACATCATGTATTGTGAAACTTTGTGGTTCAGCAATTCGCGACCATTTATTTTTAAAAAGTAGTAGATTTGTCTTTTCCCTATTTATAATCAATTTATTTTTTGTAAACCATTCATTTCCCACTTCAAAAATATGGCTTGCTCTTTACTCCAACTGCATCATTGTACCACTTTTAACCAGTATATTTGTGTCATCAGCATAAGTTATTATAGAGAACCAGTCCACATTTTCACTTATTTCCTCTATATTATTGATATATAGCACAAATAAAATTGGCCCCAGTACACTTCCCTGTGGTGGAATTCCTAGACCTACATATTTATCATTAGATATAATTTGTTCTTGACCATTTTTTAATTTACGTCTATGTATTCTCTGATCCAGATATGAACTAATCCATTTAAGTGATGTTCCTCTTACACCATATTTGTCTAATTTGTTTAACAATATATCATACTTTAACGTATCATATGCTTTTGATAGGTCTAAAAATAATCCCAGTGGTAATTTGTCATTTTTCATAATGGTTAAAATTTGATTTGTAAATTGGTTAAGGTTGATTTATTTTTTGTAAATCCATGCTGGACGTTTGTTTAGCTGTTTTGTAGTTTCCATAAAGTTTATGATCTGTTTACACATGATTTTCTCAAATATCTTGGCGAAAGATGGTAACATGCTGATTGGTCTGTAATTTTCCATTTTAGAGTCATCACCTTTTTTATAAATATGAATTTATCAGAGGCGAATTTACTTAATCTGCAGCAAAAAAAAAGTTCTGAAAATTTTGATTCTGTGTATGAATATTTTGATAACATAAATCTTGCCTATGAAACATTCTTAAATATTCTAAATTACTATATAAAAGTAAATTGTCCGGTTGTCACAAGAGCTGTAAAGACAAATAAAAAAAATAACTGGATAACTCCAGATATTTTGAGGATGGGAGCTGATATAAGGAATTTATTTTGGTTAGTAAAAAATTCTAATGATGTGAATATATACATATTAGATACAAGGATTTTCTAGTTTTTCCATGAACAATTTAAATTCTGCACCTGATGGTCGATAAAAACAAACTATTATATAAATTTTACCTTTGATTTTGAATTCACAACCACAACATTCAAATTAATAAAATATAGCTCATCCATAGGAGCACATGCACCCCCAGAAAAATGTTGTAAATAAGTTTTCAACAAATAAAAATAGAAGAATCTACTTTACTTATGAGCAATAAAGTCCATTAAAGTCAATTCTTTTGTTTTATTGGTTGAAAACTTATTTGCAACATTTTTCTGGGGGTGCACATGTGCTGCTATGAACGAATCATGCTTGATTAATAAAATACATGGAAAAAACTGAAAAAAAGTAAGATTTTAGCGCTCCCTGTATTGTATCAAGCTGTCAAGTCACACTCCACATTAAAATCTACCACTTTTTCCTTTTATGAAAATTGTTAATATTTTTCAATAATATGTATTGTCTACATACCTTCAGTTGTTGTCAAATTCACTGCTTCATTACTTGGTCCAGTGTTCTTATACCTTTTGTGATAGTCTTTTAATATTTGAACAAGTCCTTTCATTTTCTTTTTGCAATTTTTACAAATCACTACCTCCATTTTTCCTTTTTCTGATTTTTTTCTATAAAATAATCCCAAATTGTGTCTTTCCTGCTTCCACTCATTTTTATTTTACACTTTCTTTTCACTTTAGTAGTCACAGTCTCAGGCTCAATAAATATTGTCAAATGAAGAGTTTTCTTCTCTTTTATATTATTTTGTATTGTTATTTGTGCAAAAAGTTCGACAGGATTTTTTCAGGAATGGTTAGATAATGTCATTATCAATTTTTTTTTGAAGTCAGTTTTTTAAAAAATTGTATAACTAAAAAATCACAATTTTGTGATTTTTATTGATTTTTTTTTTAATAAAAATTAAGATTTTTTCGAACCTTATACACAATTTAAACAAAATTTTATTTTTTTATAGATTTTTCATCTTCAAAAACAAGACAAACTCATATAACCAGACATTTTGAGGAACGATCTAATATGGGTAAGTTTTGTCTAAAATTTTATATAGAAAAATTCGAATATTTGCAGCATTTTTACACATTCTGGTATTTGATAAAACTCGAGAAAAGGCACTAAATTAATTTGCCCAAAAAATTTTCAGATGTTTTATCTTATAAAAAAATATAAACATTTAAATTATTTTTATTATCTGACAAATTATCTTTTTAAAATTTTGTAATATAAAAATTATATACTTTTTAGATATTTTTGCTAATTTCCCCAAATCAAATTAACATATTGTATACGTAATTTTTATAATAAAACAACGAATTTCCCTTTTTCCGTTACTTCATGAAAATATGACAACATTGCTTTATATTTGAGAAAACTAATCTATCTTGTTTCAATATTAATAGTGTATAATCCCTTGGGAACGAGTATGAAATTTGTACCGAAAAGTTTAGGCGAAAAGCAAACTTGTTTAACTCATTTTGACGCAAAGGTTGAATACGATATTTGTTACAAAGTATTTGCGATTAATCTCGATTTATTAAATGGTCGATAGATAATTAAGCTGTGCCATAAGGGATTTAACACGAAGCCATGTTTAAAAGGTCATATGTAAATTGAAGACCAATATAATATACTGTTTAATTACCTAACTATCAAACTAAAATTTGGGTCGACGCAAGCTAAGGGACTAATTCTGAATAGTAGTTTACAGATATAGACATAAATTATTGTAGACTGTTAAAAATAGTTTGATAAAAAAATAAACGTGTGCTTACAAAAAATATTTTTAAATATAAAGTATATAGGGGTCTATTCTGTAACAATTCCTTGATATTTAACGGCCTTTAAAAATATTTTCTTCTTTACTTCTGTGATTATTTAAACGGATCTTTAAAATACATTAGAGGACTATCTTAAAGAAATCTGTTTAAATAATGACAGAAGTAAATTAACGAATACGAACATACTTTTATAGGCCGCCAATATTTTTAAAGGCCGTTAAATATAAAGGAATTGTTACAGAATAGACCCCTTGGGCAGTGATCAACTGGGCGTATTGAATAGGTAGACAACTTAAAAAGATCGTAAAGGTTTGTTCCAACAACGATCTTGGAACAATACATGAATTAATCGACGATTTATTGTTTATTATCTGTCGTATTACCCTTAAATTTTAAACTTAACAATTACTTTTGAAGTGACAACTGTGTTACTAGACCTTTTCTTTCACAGATGGAATCTAGTTTTTCAATAATTTTGACGGACTCGTGCTTCTTCTGTAACGATACCTATCTTTGTATCACTTAGATACTCAATGATAATACTTTTTGCTAAGCGTTCAAGTTTTTCCCATTTTCTATCAGGTTTCATCGGAGCCCATAGATTACTAATGTGAATAGATGGGAAACTCAATGGTAATGTCGATGTGCTGCCATCTATCAAATTGGAGTGGTACTAAAATTCAATATGGCCGCTTAGCGCGGGCTTTTTGAAATTTAACTTTCTGCTAGTCGCGCAAAAATATAATGAAGAAAATCAAACAAAAAAAATAAATTGGCAAAATATTTGACTAGTTTCAAATCATAAAACAACCATATTGACTGTTTTGTGATTTGAAACTAGTAAAATATTTTGCCAATTTATTTTTTTTGTTTGATTTTCTTCATTATTTTTTTGCATTAATTTCAAACTTGAAATAAAATGCAATTTATTTTATTTTTTTTTTTATTACAGTAAATTAACGCCGCATCATATAATTTGTCTATTTAAACATGGAAATAGGTTTTCTGTAACAAACTCGACATATTTAAGTGCTCAAGACCAATATAACAGTTTTGCAACTTGGAGTGGCAATAATTTTAAAAAGTATTTTCATAAATTTATTTTCATTTTTATATTTTACAAGTATTTTCTCATTGAGGTGTTTAGAAAAGTATCTTTGTATGTATATTTAATCCAGGTTAAATGTGAGTGCGCGAGTGTAATGTTAAGTATGAACAAAATCCGCCCATTATGTATGTACGTTTGGTTACCGACCCATTTAGGTAGGCAATTTGTTATTACTTTTATGTTTTACTCTTAAGTAGGGAGAGAGAAAATCAATATTAGCATAGAGTATATTGCCTAACAAAATGTCTAATTTCGCGCAGCCAGGACGAGTTTATTTGACGACGTTGATCTAAAATCCCTTAAGGTACCATTTCGGTAGGCGCGTAAGGAGACAGGAGACCACCGAGGCGACCCCAAGGACAATAGAGGCATAAATGTTAACGTTCCGTACATTTCGGAAGCTTAGAGACATATCGCGCGATACTTGCAGATAACCATTCGAGGGAACGATCAGCGTTGCCAGATCTACTGTTTTTACGTAGATCCACTGTTTTTGTCACTAGCAAATTTTGTTCTTAATTTATTAAGTTTGCCTCATTCTTCAGCAAATGGTTAGTAAATTTTCCGCAGTAAAAGCAGCGTAATAAGCATCCACTACTGTAGGTTGGCTCCATAATAAAAAACATCAAGATAATCATTATATTATTATTTAAAATGAAACAAAGAATTAATAGGACATCATAAAAAGAACATGCATATGCCAAACACTACGATTTTGAATTATCTGATTCAGACTGATCTAAAAGAAGTAGGTACCTATTATTTTTTGTTTTGTTTCCGTACGTTAAGTATATATTAAAAATGTTATTATTTGTTTTTATTCTTTGTTTACTGTCTAATTTGGGTAGAAGAAAGTTTATTTTTCGTTTCTTATATACTTGTTTTTTTTATTTACTACACTGCAAATTATAATTATTTCCCCCTGTATTAAAATCTACTGTTCAGATCTACGGTTTTTTTTTTCACCCATACTGGTCCAAACTCTGGCAACACTGCCTAGATCGAACCTAATCACCTCCAAGTAGACGCGATGCTTGAGGACAGTGACCTCGAGTGCGACACGCAGTAAGCGCTTTGCCCCGAGACAGATTCAGAAGTGTCGTCTTGACGACACTTCTCATCGTGTCGTCTTGACGACACTTCTCATCGTGTCGCGCCGTGCGAAATGTGTTTCATATAATTGTACCGTAGAATGGGGTGAATAGGATCAATTTTAAATTTTAAAATAGCGTATCTCTCAGAGTGATATAGTGAGATATATCCTGTATATATCAAAATATAAGTTTATATCTGCTCTATTCATTTTTGATTCAAAATTTTTTTATCAGTGATTCGTTACCCGCATATATATTTTTTTGTTTGCTGATCCTATTCACCTGCCATTGTGGTGAATAGGATCGACCATGCTTTTTTACTGTTTAAATGCATACTCCCTTCTGTGGTGTGTATAGGATCACTTAACTTTTAAGTGTGAGTCCACCTAGAAATTAAAAACCCGATGGCGCGGCCAGTCGGAAAGGTAGATTTCATAAATAGTAATTAAAAGTAGTTTTTGTTTGTAACTTTTATTTTAATAAGTACATATGTGACAGTAAAAGCTATTTTAATTATTGTTTGTTATTATATTTACTCACACGAATTTCAAATCTGAGAAGACCTCTTCCATATGTTACTGGAGGATTTAATTTACCAACAATATGTTGAAAAGTAAACTCATATTCATCTTTCACATCCGGGAAAGTGTAGACATAACCTGAATTGCCACTTTAATTATGTTAGGTTGTTTTCTTGTAGCGTTTTCCACCCACCGTAGGTTTATAATCCCTAGGCATTATGACGTAGGTACCTCTTGATCCTATTCACCCCCGCTTTTGATCCTATTCACCCCTGATTTTGATCCTATTCACCCCTGCGATCCTATTCACCCCATTCTACGGTATGTATTTTAGACGTGAAGAGACACTTCTCGGTCGCGTCGGCGGTAGTCTGTCGCCCCTACCGAAATGGTACCTTTACGGTAAGGGTACCTGACACCCAGCGCTTTCTTTAGTAGTGGCATGGGTACATTTATAAAATATTTTTTCTACACCCGTATTATAATAATGCACTTATATGCCCATAATCCGTTTCATAATGATACCCATTATGATACAGATTTTTCATTACGATACAGATTTTTAATCAATAGAAACCTACAATTTTTCAATCAAGCATGCTGTTTGACGTTTGTCCTAGGTTCCTATGTAATTATTTTAGTTGTCAAAACGTATTAAATTTTCGTAGGTAGCTAAACTTCGATAATTATAATATTAAAATGTCTGATATTAGCGATATAGAAGATTCCTCCACACATATCGGAGAAAGCAGAAAATACAGTACAAAATATTTTACCGCAAAAATCTAGGGAAATACCAATACCTGAAGTAATACCATTAATTACAATTTTGTAGAATTTTTTATAGAAATACGAGTAATTACTGTTATTGTGTTCAATACCAATATAAATATAATATTTATAGGTCTTGATTATTTATCGGGTGTAGAAAAAATAGCGTATGCAACTCTCATGTAATGGTTATTAAAACACTCGCATAAACCATACGAAACTCGCCTTTGGCTCGTTTCGTATCCCGGTTAATGCTCGTGTATTAATAACCATCATTACATGATCGTTGCATAATATACTATTAAATCTGAAATACTCGTAAATGAAAAGTATTTGTCAGAATTTCGTTTATTGTTTGTCAAATTGTTAATAAACTGTAAATTAATGAAACAACTGAAACATGAGTAATATGTAAACGATTCATTGATATGTATACCCCGGTTCTCTAAAAGTACCTCTATTTTAATATACACATTCCGTATAAAGTGTAATTTTACATATTAGAATAAGTGTAAAAATGCTAATTTTTAATAAAACTTACTTTTTTACTCTTTAAATGATTTATTTAGGTAGGTATGGATAACCTTCTTATTCATAAATTGAACTTACTAAAATACACACAAAATTGAATAGTCGAAAAACTAAGAAATCAAACGTTTCTTTGGATGTAACAAATCAAAACACTAAACACAAGAAAATAACAATTACAGGATATGCAATAAGTAAAACGTTTACTACGCCACTGATTGCAACTGTGCAGTATTATAAATAAGGCGCTGGGAGTTCTGTGACCACCCCTATCGTCTATAAATTCAAGCTGGTTTCTGCGCATTGTAAAGTATTGTTCTTTTCGGATAGTAATCAAGCCATGGAGGTAGAAGGTAGGGAGACGCTATGAGCATCTTTTTCAAACATTCAAAACGGTATCACTTAGTCGTGGTGACAGTCATTCCAATATGGCCGTTCTGCCAGGGCTGGACTATTGGTAATGCAACTCAAACCCTAATTTGCTTTTTTAATTAATTGTAAGTTATAAATTAATTGTCATAAAACGGATAATTATTAACAGTTTTAATAAAAGTATTAAGAAATTATTAAAATGCAAGTAAAAGGAGACTTTCTGTAACATAGTTAAAAAAAATAAATAAAAATTCCTCATTTCATTTTATATGTCACGGTTTAACATAAAATAATCAAACAGTTGTTAAGGTATTAATAGAAAATATATTACGGCAAAATCAATATCCAATATAAAAATTATGTTTATTGACCCTTAAACAATACAATTTTATTATTGTGATGTCTTATGCTATCACATTTTTTTATTTTACTTTTAATAAGGTAACACATCCTAATGTTTGTGTATTTGGTAGCTAAAGCTTTTATTAACAGAACTCTATGGTTATCCAATGGATTCTGATCAAAACCGTGGGCTATCAAATTTGCAAATATATTTTTATTTATAAATGACTTTAACACTGAAGATACAATAGAGTCTACAGAATTAAGATGATAATTTGAACTAACAGTTCTCTTTTTGAGTATTTCTTCACATTGTAGACGAACGTCTATCACATCCACAGAGGGATACTGTAGGCTCTTTTTATTTTTGTTGTCTATAAATGAAAATATTTGTAGGTCTTTCTGGTCTGCACATAAAGAATTTACGCATTCGTCACAAATAAGCTGTTTTTTAAAGAGAATATACTATAGCCAGCAATATACGTTACAATATATTTTGTAAATTCCGATAGCGTAGGGTTTGGTAAATAATCATGATCATGCTCAGTATTATCTAGCACACTGTAGTAATTTTCTGATAAACCAAGAGCCCTGTAGTCTCTTGAAGATTCGTTAATTTGTTGAACGGGACATTTTAAAATTCGGAGCTCCTCTAGCGGAATACAATTTTCACGAAAACTTTCACGTACTTCGACATGTACTAATATTTTCTTATAAGCTGCCTGAAATTGTCGGGCGGTGGGATTATTGTTGTGGCCTCCATGTGAGCGAATGCAGCCAAAGAATAATTCTATGTGGTCTTGAGATATTTTATACATTGGTAAAAACTGTAGTGTTGGAAGAAATATACTTATCCATGTCATTTAAAGAAGTTTCTATACTTTCATTTTTTTTTAAAGACAAATGCTTTTTATAATGAAACTGAAGTAAATTTATAGAATTTAAGATAACAAAGGGAATATTTATGATTATTTTAAATCTAATTTTTGCACCAACTGCAACAAATTCTCTCATTTTTAATTCATCTTTACAAAACCCTAATATGGTTACAACACATTCACTAAAAGCACAATAAATATCTCAAATACGACCCTGCACATTGTTTACTATGTTGTAAATTTAGTTGTGGAATGTTATTTCAGATCATTTCTTCATATAAATATCTATTAGGTTGCTAAAAATACGTTTAGCACAAGCAACCAATGTTTAATTTTTAATTTTTAATATGTACAATATATAGTTTGCAAACGACATAAAAATTGAAAAACCGTTCATTGAAACCACGATTAGCTGTTTGAAGTATTTGTCAATCTAATATGGCGGAAGTGAACCCGTCTTGGACCACGTGACAGCGTCTCCCTACCTTCTACCTCCATGAATCAAACCTAGGTTCTCTTTCGTTTTAACCGTTTCGGTAGTAAGATCTCTCTCTCTTCCCATAATTTGATTTGTAAATATTTGATTATAAGGTTTTCATTCAAATAAATTGAGATTAAGTTTACATTTTAATTCTTCCAGGATTTGGAATAATTTCTCATATTGTAAGCCAAGAAAGAAGAAAAAAAGAAGCCTTTGGGTCGGTGGTGTAGCGGTCTAACGCGCTTATATTCATTTATAAGCAAGTTTATGTGCCAGAGACTGCTGGGCTTCGAATCCCAGACCAGACCATGTGGATTTTTAATTAAATTGCATGGTTCGGTATAGGATTTGATGTGTGTCGTATTAATAGAAATTCAATTTCTGAAGATATGACATGCAGATTATAAAAAATCGCCATACATTACCGTCTCAATGATGGTAGGTGAGGTTTTCCGGGTTTTCCTCACCTGTAAGTCAAATGGCACCATCAATCATCTTTAAGTCGCCCCGGAGCGCCACGGCAAATAATAATAATAGCCGTACCTTTCCCCGCACATTATTATATTATTATTATTTAAATTAAGTAATTAATTGTAACAGTGATTTTCTTGTGATAGTACCTAATTTAGATTGTGGATTAACGTTTTTGTATATAACTCCGCTGTTTCAAAGCAATTTTAGAACATTTTCGATATATAACCTGCTTTTTTCATGAATGTTTAAATGTTCACTTAAATACTGCCACTCACTGTAACCAGGTTCATCACTTTGGCGAACAGATTTCAAATCGCTGTCATTAAAAATTTACACAACAGAAGCAGTAAAGTGAATTTTTTGTTTCGGATTACAACAAGCAAAAACGCTCAATTTTTTCTTTGTTCGGTAAAATTCTAAAGAAGTATCTATTGGAAAACTTACTCCGAACTATCTCTCGGATAAATCTTTTTTGGAAGTACAGTAGTAACAAAAAATATAGCAACAAATGCGTCATGCGTTATTGTACTTGCTTGCAAAGTTTCATAAATATCGTCCTTTTCGTATTAAAGATATTTACTTGGTCCCATACTTTATCCCAACCCTGTATTATTATGTATATATAGGGTGTATCTATTACTAGCTAAATAAAGGAAATATTTTTTTCTGCTTGATTATTTATTTTTTCTCTGATTCAAATTTAATTTTATTTACAGATCATCCATCTTCCAAATCAACACAAAACCATTTAGGCAGACATAATGGCAAGCGCTCCGTAATTTGTAAGTTTTGCGGAAAGTATTTCATAGAAAAATTCGAATTTTTGCAACATCATACTATCCATTTAGTGAATATTAAACGTACACATCGATCGATTCAAACAAACAATAATGATGTTAATAAAATTGACACTTTTAAAAAACCCTTTAATCTTATGATTACTTCAAAACACTTGTATAATTATTTACAATCTCGTACGGGTTTTATACCGTACAAATGTGCGGTGTGTTCAAAACCTTTTAGTAATAATAGATCATTAAAACAACATTTGAGAAATCACAGTAAATTTAAATGTGAAATTTGTTCCAAAACATTTATCGCCAGATCAAGTTGGAGATGTCACAATTTAATTCACGCTAATAAGAAACCGTATAAATGCGATTTGTGTTTTAAACGATTTAGCGATTCTACTAATTTAAGAAACCATCGAAATATTCACACTAAATTAAAACCATACGAATGCAACATGTGTTCTAGAAAATTCACACGTAGAACTAATTTAATAAATCACATCGTCATTCATTACGAAGACGATAAAAAACGGTACAAAAGCGAATTTTCTTTCCTTAAATTTATGCAACGATATTCGTTATTCGGTCATCTAAAAACCGACACGGGCGTAAAATCGTTCCAATGTGATGTTTGCTTGAAAGAATTCTCTAGAAGATCGTACTTAAACCTCCACACCAGAATCCACACTGACGCTCAAAGATTTCAATGCCTCATTTGTTCGGCCAAATTTCTACAAAAGCACCATTTAAGGGATCACATCAAATCTCACACTGGCGAGAAACCGTTCAAATGCGACTCTTGCCCTAAAGCTTTTACTAGGAAAACTTATTTGAAGAACCATTCGAAAATGCACACCGAGAGCGATTTGTTGCAATGCGACATTTGTAGCGCGAAATTTTTGCAGAAGCATCATTTAAACGATCATTTGAGAACTCATACTGGCGAGAAACCGTTTAAATGTCACGTTTGTAGCAAATGTTTTTCGCGAAATTCTAATCTAAAGAGGCACATGAGTAGTGTACATTTTAACCTTTATTCAAGTTGTGATGTGTCTGATCAGTTGGACGAGCGACCGCTAGACTTAGCCGACCACCGATTAACCATCGACGACGTGTAATGAATGTATGATGAATAGGAAGGAGTAGGGCATCCAAATGGTAGCATAATAAGTTATTTGCGCTTCAGTGTCGCCATGCGAACTCCAGTATGAAGGAAAGCAGACTAGACCCCAAGTCCGATTGAGACAAGATTCTAGAGAGCCAGCGTCCACTTTGTCTCCCAAGCCTCCGCATGCGCAAAAATTGTTGTTTGTCTGTATTGAAGTGATACAGAAACTCAGTGGCGACTTGTCCTAAGGGGCCAAAGGACCTTGGTACTGGCGCAACATTTGTAAATATTTCGGTCTCTAAAAATATTACTTTTTATATTAATTACAATAATTATTACAATTGTCGGATTAAATTATGACTAAACGATACATTATATAAATTATTTATCATTATTTAATTTGATCCCCTTGAAAAAACTTGCGTCGTATTATTCCTAGACACAATAAATTTAATAATTCAAGCAACTGACTGTCCGCCGTCTATCCGAGCACATCGACCAGAGTGGTCCAGCTGCTTACAAATCAATCCATTGTAAAAGTTTACTAAAGGTCACGCCATTCGCTTGTAGAAAGCGCTTCTTATACATTCAAACGGGGCCACGTTTCAAGCGGCTCGGAATGAATAGTATTGTTTCAATCGCGTGTTCGGCGAGTTCGGCGTATTGCTTTTGACATTTTATGCGTGCTGAATTTTTGTTTGTTAGGTAGTTAAAATAGTTGAGTTTATAAAGTATAATAAATTAAAAATCGTCCGAGAGTTCGAAGCAAAATGAATAAAATAAGCAATCTGTTACTGAAACCTTTTTATACGCACTCGCTCGAGGAAAGATCCAAATGAAGGAACTTGGGAGACCCTTTCCTGATTTGGAAACAACAAAAACGCAGAAGGCCGCTGGTATTATTATAATTTAATTGAAATAATATTTTATATGAATTTGCCTCTCTTTTACCTTGAACATACACCTTTTGATTCTTTTTAATTGAAATAATCTCAAAACCTGCCTTCTCTATACTAGAAACGTTTAACAAATTTACTCTTAAATCTGGAACACAATATACATTTTTTAAAGTAACAAATATATTTTCATTTTCTAAAACACTCATTACCTTGATGTCACCACAGCAGGTGGCAACCATATCCTTTCCTTTCTCAGATAGTTGAATTTTCTTAGGTTCATCAGAGTTAATCGAATTAAATTACGGGTTTTGAGCTTACATTAAATTTTAATTAGATGAAACAAAATGGATTCTATGTATTTTGAGGTGATCTTTTCGAAAAAAGGTAAAACAAAATGTAGCAGTTTTTCGAAAGTGCCGAAATTTTGGATTTTGTCAATTTTTCAATTTTGCGCAGGCGCATGTCGGAAATAAATCAATATTTTTAAAACGCAGTTTACGACATTTGAAAGCTTAGGAAAAATGCTAATTTTTATGTCTCTTGAGAAATTTTGATCCGATGCACCGTTCTCGCGGTATGGACGATTGAAATTTGTTTAGTATTTTGAGGCGACGAAAATCGAAAAATTGAATTTGTTAAATGTTCAAACACTAAATTCTTTATAACATTGGTAAAAATTAAGATATTTGAAAAAACAAAAATGCGTTTTGAACTTAAGGGATGTGACAAGTGATTCCCAGAAGGGGACAAGAGAAATCCCAAAATTGGGCATATGGCGGAAGGGCAAAATGCACCGCGGTCCTAATTTTATTGTTTGCCTATAACGGCCAAACTATTTGAATTTTTTTAATGCCACTTACAAAGCTTACTCTTAAATGTGAAATCTTATGTGTGTGTGAATTTCACCGACATTGGACCATAATTGGCTAAGATATCAAACAATTAAAGAATTTAAAAAAAAAAAAAAAAAAAAAATAATTTTTTTTTTCGAAAGTTTGAAGTGGCACAAAAATGCCAAAAATGCACCCAATGACTCAAAACTTTTTTTTTGAGTACTCTATTGTGTCTAGAATACGATTACATTACGGAAAATTCTGCAAATATATTTTATCTATTTTTTTGACCACTGTTCATTGAGTGACGACCAAAAAACACGGTTTTTGAGAAAAGTTGCCTAAAATTGACAATTTTTAGTTTTTTTGTCTGAAAATTAAACAAACCCAAATTTCATGTCTTCTAAATGTGTATACAAAGTTTAAAGTGTGTATGTTTCTTCTAAGTTGTAGAATTCTCCCGACAAAAGTCCCATTACACGCGCTCCGCAGGATCCAAAACTCGTGTATACATACATTACTGTAATTTGATTTTTTTGCGATTTCCAGTTTTAAATTTCTTGCATATCTAAATTTATTAGGCTTAAAATTTATTAAATTGTATTTTACTGACTTGTTATAAGACGTTTCTTGAGTTTTGTGCAAAATATAGAATTACCAGATATTAGCGAACAAAAAGCAAGCTTATCACCAAGTTGGAACTTACACTCAGGCTTAGGATTAATTTCCTAACATTTTTAAAGTATACCTTTTTGTGTATTTTTTTGTGCTCTTTTCGATGGCGAAGTTAGTTTTTCAAATATATTTATTTTGTTAGATGTTTTCGGAAAACCCGGAAAAAATCACATGGGAAAAAAATTATTAAAAAAAAACTACGCCTCTGGTTTCCTGCGAATTCCCGAAAAATTATGTCAGATTTCGCCGCGGGACTTATTTTATTTGAGAGCCAACAAAAAAATACGCAACTTCTCTCGTGGGCACATATGTCTAACATTTATAATTTCGCCACAAATTCATCGCAAATTTCAGGTCCATGGTTCTGATCAAAAAAACGAAAAAACGACTTTTTGGTAAAATCACTTCTGGCGGCGAGAAATTCGCCATTAAAACTACCTGTGCAATGAATTTCCGAACTATTTTTGCCTCCTCTTTCGAATGGTGCATTTATTTTCACTATCGGAATGATACTTGCCCAGATAATTAGCATTTTTACAATGGAAAATTCCGGAAAACCCGGTTTTTCCTAATTTAAAAAAAATTGAAAAACTGCTACATCTTTTTTTTCTTTTTTTCGGAAAGATCACATCACAAGTATTAGAAATTAAAAATTAAAAAAAACCGACTTCAAAAACGTGCAGATGCCGTCACCACATCTTAACCAATTTTACATGGGACCACCCTTGAGGTACCCCCTTACTAACAAAAAAAGAATCATAGAAATCGAACAAGATGGTAAAGCATTATCGCTAAACATACATAAAAAATGAAGAGTTTGAAGATTTTCCCATGGATCCAATTATTAGATTTTAACCAAATTTATATGGGACCACCCCTGAAGTACCCCCTTTCTATCAAAAAAAGAATTATTGAAATCGGACAAGATAGTAAAGCATTATCGCTAAACATACATAAAAAATTAAGAGTTTGAAGATTTTCCCATGGATCCAATTATTAGATTTTAACCAAATTTATATGGGACCACCCCTGAAGTACCCCCTTTCTAACAAAAAATGAATCATTGAAATCGGACACTGTGTTAAAGAATAATCGCTGAACATACATAAAAATAAATATCGCTACGAATTGATAACCTCCTCCTTTTTTGAAGGATTTTCGGATTTTCAACGGCATAAACATGTTCATTATGGGTATTAGTTATACCTCTTCTTGTAAAACCCGCTTCATCGGCAAAGAGAACCTTCTTGACAAAGTTTTGATCTCTTTCTCTTTGCATATTAACAAATCGACAAAAACCCAAACGAATTTGAGGATCATGGACTAATAATTCTTGTACTGGCTTCTTATGGTATGGATATAGCAATTGTTCTCTAAGCACTTTATGAACGACATCTTTACTTACTCCTAGTTCCCTTCCAATTCGTATGGTGCTTAATTCTGGATCTTCTTCAACACGTTCTAAAATGTCTTCTTCAACTTCAGGAATCCTTACAAAACGTTCTCTTCCATTATCAACAGTGTTGGGAGCAAAGGAACCGGTCTCCCGAAGACGTCTCTCAACATCAGCAAAAGTTGGGTGGCTAGGTACACGACGATTTGGAAACCTTTCAGAGTACACCCTGACACTCTCTCGAGCATTACCTTCACAAAATCCTAATGTCAGTAACATATCGGTATATTCTGCATTGGTATACATATTGTACAGCCATATTAATAAACCACGCATTTGTCTTTTTAATTATTGAGTCAGATAGAACACTTTCAATCGTTAACAAGAGATTAGGTGTTAAAACTTGACAATATTTTTATTTAGATGAAACTATGGAAACCAACAATAAATGTTTTTGTATACGTATTGCAGGCAAATAATTAATATTCCTCAAAAAATCGTACATGGCAAGAATCGAGTATTTTTGTTAAAAGTCTCGATTAGAGGTGAAGATATGAAAAAAGTACATTTTTATGTTTTTCATCGTATAAAAGTTTGTCCGATAATAATACATAGGCGTAGAACTTGATTTTTTAAATAATTGTACCTTTAAAAATTCTACGCCAATGGCAAAAAAGGGGTTTGAGTATGAAATTTGGATTGGGTACTCATTTACTACAAAAAAGTACCCTTGATAACACTCGATTTACTCTCATGGTTTTGACAAAGTTTGTATTTTAATAATTATTGTTTATGTTCTAAAATTACTCAAATGCAAATTTCGTCAAAACCATGAGAGTAATCGAGTCTTATCAAAAGTACCTTTTTTAAAGTAAATGAGTTGAGCAATCTAAATTTCATACTCAAACTCCTTTTCTTTCATTGGCCTAGAATTTTTAAAGGTGCAATTATTTAAAAAATCAAGTTCTACGCCTATGTATTATTATCGGACAAAATTTTATATTTATCAAAAAATTATTTTCTTTGATATGACCCTCTCAGCAAAAAATGACGTTGATATTAGAATATATAAAACAAAATTCAAATTTTTTAAAACAAAAGGGAAGAAAAAATATTCCAAAAAAAACGAAAACTATTTCACAAAAAGAAATATTAAAATTTTTCAAAATCCCAACAATTAAATCTTTTTGTCACTGCAAATATTTGAATTTTTCTTTTTTATATATGTTTAAAAAAATATATAATCTCATATTAATATGCTTTTTATTTTAGCTTTTAGATCCTCTAGAAAAAAACAACTTAACACGCATTTTGGAAGATATTGTTACTATTGTGGTAAATTTTTTCCTAACATTCATCAATTACTAGACCATGTATTTGTTTTTCATCATGTAAAGAAATTAATCAAAATTTGCGAAAACAAATTTAGAAAAAAGCGGTTCAAACGTAAAATTTGTCCCAAACCATTCCTAACCGAAACGAAATTAAATAATCATTTAAAAATAGGCGAATGTTCAAAATTGAGTTCAAAAATTCGCACCAATAAAAAATCTTTTGAATGTGAAACATGTTTGAAAAAGTTCAGCCATAAATACACTTTAAAAATGCATTTAAAAATTCACACAGGAGAAAATACATTCAAATGCGACATATGCTCAAAAGAGTTTACTCAAAAAAACAATTTAATTAATCACTTAATAATTCATACTGGGGAGAAACGTTTTAAATGTCAAATATGTTCGAAAGAGTATTCCAAGAAAAATAGTTTAATTAATCACTTAATAATCCATACTGGTAAAAAATTCTATAAATGTGACTTATGTTCGAAACAATTCAGCCTTAAATTATATCTAACATTGCACCGAAACACTCACACTAAAGAAAATTCGTTCAAATGCGAAATATGTTCCAAACAATTTAATTATAAATCGAATTTAATAAGACACAAAAAATATCACAACGAAAGAATTACATTTAAATGCGAATTATGTCCGAAAGAGTTTATGCATAAAAAGAATCTAAAATCGCATTTAAACATTCACAATAACGTCAAACCGTTTAATTGCGAAGTATGCGCGAAACAGTTTTTTCACAAACATAATTTAGTGTCTCATTTAAAAAAGCATGCCGGTGAAAAAGATTTCAAATGCGAAGTGTGTTTGAAACAGTTTGTACACAAACATAGTTTAATATCGCATTCGAAAATTCACACTGGAGAGAAATTAGAATGCGAAATATGTAACAAACAGTTTGTACAGAAAGACAGTTTGTTGCAACATTTAAAAATTCATTCCGGAGAGAGACCGTTTAAGTGTGAATTATGTTCTAAAGAGTTTATACAGAAATTTCGTTTGGTGGAGCATTCGAGAGTTCATTCCGGAGAGAAACCATTCGAGTGCGAGATCTGTTCGAAATTGTTTAGTCAAAAAAGCTATTTGAGTTCTCACTTAAAAATTCACACGGATGATAGACCGTTTACCTGTGAAATATGTTCGAAAGGGTTTAAAGAGAAAAGAAGTTTAAAATCGCATTCAAAAATTCACATGAGAGAAAAAACAATTAAATTGTAAACAATATTTAATCTCGTTAAAACTATCATACAAATCTTTCTTAACCACTCCGGTATGTTTATATCGTCCTTCAAAGAAAACTTCTCTAGAAAACGACCCACAGCTTTTTGAGGTACTTTCATACCTATCTATTTCTCATGACAATCTTGTGGTGTTTGGGGATTTGCACTTCCCAGAAATTTCCTGGCCACTTACTGCAGGTCTTGAAGTATTGCAGAACACTTTATAAATTTTATTATAAACTCCAATCTTGAACAACTTATAAACGAACCTACCCACTTTCATTTAAATCAAGAGCCTGCAACTGTAAACCTTACATTAACAAATGACGACCAACTTTTAATTTCTCAATCTGTCCACTCATCTATTGGGAAATCTGACAATGGCGTTATTATATTTAATATGCAATTTAATATAGAAACCCCTAATCCCGATAGGGACGTAACCTACAGTGTCATAAACTTTAATAACGTAAAGAGAGTCCTCTTCGAAATTGATTGGAATCACTTTTTTAGAAGTACTGTATTAGTAGAAGATATGTGGACATTATTTCATACAAAGATATCTGAAATTGTGAAGGCCAACACAAAAACAAAAAATGTCCTTGAAATAAATTAAAACCCTGGATCAATGGACAAGTTTTAAATTTAATTAAACATAAGTAAAATATGTGGAAAAAATTTAAAACAACATGATGATTTTGTTAACCATCGACGTTTCTCTAACGATTTAATCAATGTTATTGATAACGCAAGAAGAGAATACGAAGAATATATCGCTACTAGCGATAACCCTAAGAAGCTATTTAAACACGTAAAATGCTCTCTCTTCCACAGTATCAGTCCCGCTTTTTAAAAAAACGGATGGAATCTTATGTAATAATGATCAAGAAACAGCTGAAGCTCTGGCCAACCATTTTTCACAAGTGTTTTCCTTAGAACCCACAGGCGACATCCCAGTTAGTCACGATGCCCGAACAACAACCTCTTTATGTAATGTCGATTCAATCAAATTCCTCACCTGGAATTGACAATTTATCGGCAATGCTTTTAAAAGAATCCGCATCTTGTTTGGCTTTACTTCTATCCATTATTATGACATCTTCCTTTACATCCCACACACTTTCTTCAATGTGGAAAATTGCTTCGGTGACGCCTATTTTTAAAAAGGGTGACAAACTCAGTCCATCCAACTATCGTCCAATAAGCCTCGTCCCAATTGCCTGTAAAATAATGAAATCTATATTAACCAATTATATGTCTGATTTTCTCAAGAACCTTGGCCTTTTGCCAAAAGAAAAACACGGTTTTATCAAAGGTCGATCCACATTAACAAACTTAATGACCTGTTTAAACGATTGAATTACGTCTGTGGACAATAAAGAGCCTGTCGATGTCGTATATCTTGATTTCGCTTAAGCCTTTGACCGTGTTCCTAAAAAGAGATTGCTTTATAAGTTGGAAAAAGCTGGCATTCGCGGCTCTTTACTTCTCTGGATAAGTGATTTTTTTGTCAAATCACATCTTCAAGGTAAAAGTTTGACAAATGTTCTCGTTAGAGTATCCAGTCCTAAGTGGTGTCCCTCAAGGCCCAATGAACGAATATCAAATGTTTTCCTATAAAAAACATGAAAACTTGCGAGATGACATGTCGGTGACAATCTCCAGCAAGTCGCCACCTTTTCGGGCTTTTGCCAGCGGATCGCTGCTGATACCGCCGAGATTAATCTCTGGCGATCGACAATTCATATGGCTGTTAGTATTTGAACCTGATGCTCTGTCGTCACGGTTGTCACGCTTACTATTCTTGGTATATGCTGCAGATCTAGGCAAATACTTAAATTCTAACAGTTCGTGTTACGCTGATGACACTAAGCTATACTCTAATCCTGTGACAGATTCTATCCAACTACAAAAAGACCTAGAAAATATTTCAAACTGGTGTGATACCTGGCTGCTTCCTTTAAACATGGAAAAATGTGCGTCCTGCATATAGGAAAAAATATCCCGTGCTTGAACTATTATCTAAGCGGTAGTGTATTAGCGACTGTGAACTCTCATAACGACCTGCTAGTTGACGCTGAACGGTGTCTACAGACTACAGGCATCCATCTTCTCAGATCGTCAAGGCCTGAAGGTCATTAACGTCGCTGAGAGGTGTCTCTAGATGCTTTATTTTTTGAAGTGGCCATTTGATGGGCTTCTACCAGCCCGATGATAAATGCCCGGGTGAAGTCATTCCATTCGATCGCTCCACTGGTCAAGCAATATAAACCATTAATTAATATCTATAAAGTGTACATTTAAATCATTAAAAATCTTAATTGCAAGAAAACACTAAGCACAGCTGGGCAGTACGAGTAAAGTGTACTCAAAATTGTAAGTGCTCAAAGTGTACTTAAAGTGTAATTAAGTACTCAAAGTACTCAGTAATAGGTACTCCTGAGTTCCTTTATCCTGACTTAGTATTCGAAAATTTTTGAGTACTTTATATTTTAGAATACTCAGTACTTCTGATTACTACAGCCGACGAGTAACGAGTACGAGTACCGACGCGCACAAGACCAGGCAAGCTCAATTTGTCTTGTTTGGTGTGGCTTGCTCACAGAAGTACACGCCAATTTGCTATTATTATTATTAATATTATTATTGTACGTTTTATGTTTTGTCAGACAGTTTGTACAGCGCACATGTCGTCGTCAATATCACGAAGTGACGTAACTTGATTTTCACAACTTTACAAGAGAGCGTTTTAAAGTTTTTTTTTATAAAGTTACGTCTCTTCGTCAAATTATCAGATACACCGGTTAGACATTATGAAATTAATACATAAATCATTTTTTTTTTAAACTTAAAATTGGTATAATAAATTTAAGCATTTATTTTTTGTATTGGCTATAAACTAAATTACCAGGGTTTCAAAATATCATGATATTTATATAAATATATCGCATGATATATATCTGGTATATGTATATCGGATATACAGTGAGCATCATAAGTCTTACCCCCCTAACTAACTCGTTACTGGGGTCTTGTTAGGAAAATCGCCGAGACAGGTCGATTTTTGATTTCTACAATGTACATTTTTGCATGATTAGTTTACCCTTAATTTCATCCCTTACTGGAGGGTAGGAACCCTTTCGAAAAATTTAAATGGCATGGGGTGGTGAGTGATAGCTCATTTGAAAGGGGGTTTTATTCTCTATTCAACCGTGTAAAAAATTTTGAAATTTGCTTTATTACGTGTTGATTTATTAATGTTTAAAAATAACAAAACCTCACAAAATAGGAAAGCAACTAGACTAACAGTGACCTTCTAATGGCAAAAAGTCTTACTTCACGTTTGAACCAAAACCAAAATCATGCAGGGCCGAATTTTAATTCTAAGGGTGAGTGCGCTACGTTAATTTCCGTTATTCTGAAACAACAATTAGTCGAGAATTAAAGAAGCAAATTTCAAATTTTTTTTACACGGTTGAATAGAGAATAAAACCCTCTTTCAAATGAGCTATCACTCACCACCCCATGCCATTTAAATTTTTCGAAAGAGTTGCTCCCCTCCAGTAAAGGATGAAATTAAGGGTAAACTATTTATACAAAAATGTACATTGTAGAAATCAAAAAGCGACGTGTCTCGGCAATTTTCCTAACAAGACTCCAGTAACGAGTTAGATAGGGGGGGTGCTCACTGTATAACCGATATATATCATTTTTAAAGTTTAATTAAAAAACATTATTGTTTCTTGCACAAACTATATTTTAAATTTTAACAGAAACTTAAATTAAAAAGAAAAAAAAAATAGTAAAATAAACAGATTTTAACATTATTTTATTAACATTAATATTTTAACACAAACACATAATTAAAAACCTATATTCTAAGTTCTAAACAACAAAACCTTTTATTATAACATTTATAACTCTAATTAAAAAGAAAAAAATTAAAAACAAACAGATTTAACATTATTTTGTTAACATTGTATGTTGGTATGTCCTCATATGATGCATCTGATGCAATATTAATATCAATAATGTTATTCCTATTAATGACAATAACTTCAGAATCTTCAGATGTGGCTGGTTCCCGTTGCCCAGTCAAGGTTGGTTTTCTTTTTGTCTATATTTTGATTCAGTAACCTAAAAGTAAAAACAAAACAAATCGTGGCGAAGCTGGGAATCCCAATATCGGCGCAACGATGCTTGCGCGACAGCCGAATAAATCGTTACAGTTATTATACTTTTGTATAAGGGCGTATTGAGACATTTACGGATGTTCAGAATAATGGAAAACATTTTTAATTTAATAAATAAAATTATCGAATATATATCAAGGTATAAATATAACATAATATATCGTGTTATATAAATTATACAAAAATTGCATTCGTTATAAAGTTATTATAACTTAAGCAATTTAATAATCAAATAACAGTCAAGTAGAAGGTCTAAACCAACTAATTCAGAACAAATGTTGTTTGTTACTCTTAAAACTCAATAATTTTGCTAAATATGTCGCTAAAGACCGCCTTTCAACCATAGATATGTTCAATATAACTTCATTGGTAATGAGTATTGCTCCCTCTAGCTGTGAAGTTAGGAACTTGAAAGTAATTTTCAGTGATTTTTATGAATAAATTTTGTTAAAATATACAATAAAATATTTCGTAGATTGTAATGTGATGTTATTATTTTATAAATGTTTATAGTGTTTTAAGCTCTACGATTTTGGGAAGTGGGTCAGGTTATTAAACAACTCGTATGACTTTGAAAGAGAATATTGGACGCCACTATATTTAAAACTTTCTAAACTTGACAATCGATCAGTGATGAAAATATAGAAAACCACTGATCTTTATATTATAATTAAATAAGGTAGTGACAAATTCTAATTCACAGAGACTTAATTATTCAAATTTAAATGATTTATTGACTTATCTGGAGGCATACAGGAAACAGGTAACATGTAACTGTAGAGGCCTTCTTGTGAGAATTTACAAGGTAGTATAAATCTTGTTAACTAAACTTCTTGTGAACTAAACTTCTTGATGTATTCTACGTTCTTCCAAAATTCATGCAGACACAGCTACTATTGAATCTTCGATTTAGTTTCTATCGAACCATCTAAATCTACTGAAACCATATATATAACTTCTAGGATTTCTTTAAGATCATAAGACCATCTATATACAGCAAGGCTACAAGGAAAAAGGTAAAACTATAAAGAAGGGAGCCGGAAAAAGTATCTAGGAACAGATAATATGCTTTTTACTATCAAATGAATAAATTAAACTATTATTTGAATAGTTACACAGAGACTAGAATTTAATAGGAAAAGAAGAAGTCTTATTTAACATATATAAATATAGTAAAGCATATTATCTAGTTCAAACAAAATAATATATGAACTTATATAAAACATGTGATGTCTTATGTTTTTCAATGTGTTGAGGTGTAGAGATGTTGGTTTCAAAATAACGAAAACGGGTCTGAGTCAAATAACGAAAATGGTTCCAACCGTTACAAGATATGGCCGACATCCTTTCTTAATTGAACTCCCAGTACCTACTATAGAGTAGGTTTAAAATTTAAAATATATCATTTTAAATTTTAGAACTAATAAATTTTGCAGTGCCCATGTTAATGGTTGTATTGCGTTGTAACGTTGGCTGGGGCGTATAAACTGGCAACGCTGATATTATACATTTCCTGCTCGCACCAATGCTAACTCTCTGTACCGACGTGCACATGCACTTGTGGTAAGGCGTATTGATAGGGTTGCCAGATTTCCGAAAGTGACAACCGTGATGACAGAACATTAGGTTTAAATACCAAGCATTTTTATATAATGACGTCCTTTCTTTTATGAAATTTCTAAAAAAAAAAAAAGGTCCTCACCTTATAAAAAAAGAGGGTCCTTTACCTGCAGATTTGTCTATTTTTGTATAAAAGCGTGGCATTTGCATCAAAAGAGTGGCATTTGCATAAAAAGAGGGGCATTTTCTCAAAAGCGTGGCTTTTTCGTACTGTGGCGTTGCGCGTACAAGCAAGTCAAAAAGCGTGGCAAATACGCCAAAAGCGTGACGTCTGGCAACCCTACGTATTGAAAAGCTTCGATAGTCGATACTGTACGAGTATATTGATTTTTCTTTGATAGTTTATGGAACAAATTTCACATCTTGAAACGATATAAGTATTGTAAACTATTTTATGTATTTTATATTTTACCATTTGATATTACAAAAAATATAATTTCCTATTTCGATAGAAATACAGACATGACCTTAGATGAACTGTTATTAATAGGTACTTTATTTTTTTACCCTTTAGTGTAATTTATTTATTTTTTGTAAATAAATAAGCAAATATTCGCGTTGTTGTTGAATCAAAACCTTGCATATTTTGCGAGAACCATTGAATAGGTACATATATTTTCATCTTTATTTATTATTGTAAATATAATTAAATTATACTGTATATTTATGTAAAAGTATATATACCTTATGTATTTTAATGAATAAATTAATATTATTATTATTATTATTATTATTATTATTATTATATACAAAGTTTTGGTTTATGCGCATTGATATAATATTAAATGAATGTAAAAACTTTCCAGATTTGAAATTATTAAAAACAATAAATACTTTCCCATTTGAAATGACGTATTTCGAATAACTTTTGATTTTACTTCATTTTTTACTCTAAATATCTAAAAAAATTGCCGTCATATTTTACACAATTATGTATATTTATTTTTGATTTAGTAACCCATATGTAATATGGTGATGGTTTCTATAGGTGCATGGAATTACTAATAAAATAAGCTTTCATGTAAGTTTTTTTTTGTTTAATGTGTCACACGTAGTACATTCTGGTCCAAAGGTTTATCTCAGAAAAAAATTATGTATATCAGCGATTTTCCAATTTCTGTAACAAAAGTTGTACTTAATCTTTCAAATCTGGTAGTTTTTTATAAGTTAGTAAATTTATATATTTATATATTTTTGAAATTTTACTTTGTTTTAATTTTTCTTGTACCTACCTAATTATCTATACAAAGAAAGAGTTGTATTAGAACAAAATATTGGAAAAAGTAAGACGCTAATACTAATAACCTTCTAGGGCGCCATTTAAAATTTGATCTACCCTCTGTACTATGCAGCTTTTTAAATCAACGTCCTTCCCAACACTGGATTGGTAGAAAGGGTATTATTGAACGTCCCTCAAGATTTCCAGATCTATCACCATTGAACTTTTTCTCGTAGGGTTATTTAAAAAGTGTTTATAATACGAAACTTGCATCTTTAGGTCGTCGCCACTGTTCCATCCTGGCGTTCCAAAACATTTATGGCTATCTTTAGCAGAAAAAATAAATTCCCACCTCTACTTGGAACCAGCGCCGTTCCGGTGAGCCAAAGACATTCATAACAGACTTGCATCCGCAGTTAATCACTTGTCTCTTGCGGTGGTTCATATCGACACCCCTTTTTTTACTATTCATTAGTAAATAAAGTGTTTTTATGATGTTACCCATTTTTTAACCACCCATATACTACATCAAGCATATTTGCAATAAAAGGCAAATTTAACAGCCACCGAATAGTGCAGGTATGTGGAGAAATAACCCCTGAAAAGCTTCTAAATGTTATTTGGACACATCTTGAACAAAGACCATATTATTGCGTTGAACATTTGAATAATTAAAGATTATTTGGCACTCCCAACAGGTGTTTTCCATGTTTTACTACAAAACAAAAAAAATTTCGTCATGTTTAAAAAGAGAATTAAAATAATTTTAAAATGATGTGCCCTTTGACCCCTCGTGCCATTTAGTATGGTTGAAGGAGTTGCCACCCCGTTCAGGCTGATGAACCTACATCGATGATCAAAAGAAGTCCCCCTTATTAAAATCAAAATCGACCCACCTCGGGGATTTCCCAAAAAAACTTCTAGGAAAATATTTCAGGTGGACTGTTTTAATTGGGCCACCCTGTATAAAAACAATCAGTTATAAATAATACTACTTGTAATCGCCTTTATTTACTCCCGAAACGCTTTGTATATAGCATTGACCTAGTCTTCGCAAAATTGTGATGTGAATAAAAACTTTACAGACAAAATAAGTAAAAAGATTTGAAACGGAAGTTTGCACGTGAATAAATTCATTCAAACTTTTGCTACCGACAATGTGAGACCTGCGTTTCTATAATTGCACTTCACCCGCATACTTCGTCTCGAGTAAACTACATACACCTACTAAAAGTTGGACTGTTTAAATGTTTACTCAATTTAAAACTTACTGTAATAGGACATCTACAAAAGGATGCAAAGATTTGTGAAAGAATTTCTTAGTTATATATCTATGGAATTTCTTCTGACTAGTAAAAAATAAACTTTCAAATTAAAGATAGGTTTTTAAAAATTTTTATTTATTTTTTTTATGTTAAAAATCTACGTCTATAAGAAATATGAATGTACTAGCTGTTGCCCGTGTTTTTAGTATAAAAAAATGTATGACTTTCTAAAAAAAGACGCCATAATACCAGACTGCACGCAGTACTTATTTTTATTTATTTGTATTTCCCCCCCCCCCCCCCCCCCTTAAATTGTGACAAATCAGTAGCTGTATTTCAAATTTTCATGTTTTTAACTTTAAGGAACAAAAAAATATATACATACTTTCAAACAAATTTTCACCCTCCATTTCCCCCCCTTAAAAGGTGAAAATCCAAAAACCCTGAAACACATCATTAATAATTTGTAGTCAGTAGCTGCAATTCCAATTTTCATGTTTCAAGCTTCAATGAGAACAAAAAAAATTGATAGTCCCATACAAACTTTCACCCCTCGTTTTCCCCCCTTAACCCTTAACTTGGCAACGTATGTTATAATATACATAATATACAATATATTTTTATTTGGGAATCAGTAAGATTTGAGACCCATTTGTTGGCAATGTATAGTGGAGGATACACTATCGTATGTAGCCGACGGGAGATCGGTGCGAAAATTCTCAATTCGCGCATCTAGGTCCGCTGGTATGGAGACAGTCTCAGCAAAATGGATGAGCAAGCGTGTTGTTCCAAGCAACAAGTGGTAAGTTTATTGTTATTGTTTATTGATTTTTATAATGCAGCGCTAATTTTTTGGGAAATTACTGTTGAAGCATAGTACTGTTTATTTATAAATACATTTTTGGTATTCAGTAAATATTTTTTCCACAAATTGAATGAAAATTTATCGTATTGTATAGTATACACCGCCAGGTATGGGTTACTTGATATTTATTTTTATTTTCAGAATACAAAAAGGAGAATTGATAAAATTATGGCTCTTTTGCCTCCAATTGGTGCTGAAAGCGACCCAGAAAGCAGTAGTGACGATGAACAAGAGGTGTTATCTCGTAATTTACTGAAAGAATTCATTGAAGATCCAGATGACGATGATGAGGAAAATTACACTCCTGAAGAAAATAGAGAAGACGCTGTAGAATTATTACCTATTTCAGTCAGTAAACAAAGACTAGCAGCAGGTACTCCCTCGGTTGTGCCACCGTTTTCGCCATTAGTTCAAAAAAACCCAAACTCTTCAATAAAAAGAAAAGGAAAAAAAGATGAGCCTCCATTTAAGTGGACAACTGATGATTTTGAATATGAAGTAACAACAGCACAAACGAATGATTTTATAAGACCCCAAAATATAAAAACACCTTTGCAATATTTTAAAACCTTTTTTAGTCCAGATATCGTTGAATTAATCATAAATCAAACTAACCTGTATTCGACACAAACATTTCACAAATGTGTAGACACAAGCATAGATGAAATGCACGATTTCTTGGCTATCGAAATTTTAATGGGGATTGTTGACATGCCGGCTTACACGGACTATTGGGCTCAAGAAACACGATATGAACTTATTGCAAATATAATGCCACTAAAAAGGTATCAAGCAATACGACGCAGCCTTCATTTCGTCAATAACGAGGAGTTGAATGATGACAGATATTTTAAAGTAAGGCCTATTCTAGATCGTGTACGAAGAAACTGTCTTACAATTGAGTCAGAGTCTAGATGTTCAGTGGATGAAATGATGATTTCATACAAGGGGAAAAAGGCCGGCTCGAGGAGGCAGTATATGAAGAATAAACCAAAAAATTGGGGTTTCAAAATGTTTGTTCGCTGTGGCGTATCTGGGATAGTGTATGATTTCTTTCCCTATGGAGGAAATGATACGTTTAGAAACCATTGTTTTACAGAAGTTGAAAATAACATGGGATTTGGTGCAAAATGTGTTTTAGCACTATGTTGGACAATCCAAAATAAACCATTATCGATGGCATATTTTGATAATTATTTTACAAGTTTAGAACTTATAACATATCTTCGAAGTGAATTTGGAATTCTATCTTTGGGAACTGTTAGAAAAGATAGACTACGGGATTGCCCACTTGAATCGGATAAGAAATTGAAAAAAGATGGAAGAGGTAGTTTTGACCAAAGAGTAGACATTGTTGTTGTAAAGTGGTACGATAACAAGTCCGTAACCCTATGTAGTTCGTATGTGGCCTCCAATCCAATGACAACTATCCAAAGATTCTCCAAAGAGGAAAATAGAAAAATTCACATTCCATGCCCACAGTTAATAAAACACTATAACAGTCATATGGGTGGTATGGATTTGGCAGACATGTTGATTGCTATATATAGAATACGCTTCAAAACGCATAGATGGTATATGAGCATTTTTTCTCAAATTATAGATATATCTATAAATAATGCTTGGCTATTATACAAACGAGATTCAAACATTCTACAAGAAAATCCAAAAACAGTAATTCCAGTCAAACAATTTCGAATTAAACTTGCCAAAAGTCTACTGCAGGCTGACAGAGTAAAAAGAGGACGTCCCAGTAATGAACAGCTACCACTAACTTCAAAAAAAATTAAAAACCCGGTAAAGCCTAGACCCCAAGATGACATTAGATTGGATCATCTAGATCATTTTCCAATTTATGGTGCAATGGGCAGGTGTAGAAATTGCAAGAAGGGACAAACCGCCATATTTTGTAGCAAATGCAATATAAGGCTATGTTTAGTCCAGAACAGAAATTGTTTTATGGATGTTCATATTAACAAATAAATATTTTTGAGTAATTTTTGATAGCTTGATTTTACTTCGTAACTTGGCAATGTGTAATATGCTATACATACCCATTTATCGGTCTATTTGGCGATGTATACTCTGGTATACAATCAAAATTTTTGACATACAAATGTCATATAATTTTTTTGTTATCATAGAATATTTGTATGACCACCAAACAGAACACATGCAAATTTTCAGATTTTTAGATTCAAAATTAAACTTTTGCCAAGTTAAGGGTTAAAATGTGAAAATCCAAAAAACCTGAAACACGTCATTATTTATTTATGCTTAGTAGCTGTAATTTAAATTTTCATGTTTCTAACTTTAAAGAACAAAGAGTTTCATTAAAAGCTCCCTCCCCCCATATTCTCCCATTTCCCCCCTTTAAATTTAAAATTTCAAAAAATCCTTCCTTAGCGGATGCTTACCTTATAAAATAAACCTATGTTCCAATTTTCAGCTTTCTAGGCTCAGTAGTTTTGGCTGTACGTTGATAGGTCAGTCAGTCAGTCAGGATAATGATGTCCAAAGTGAGAAAACTAGATAAAATGAATAAAGTCCTAATCAGCGGTTTCCTAGAAACTAGTAATTCGGATAACGCCAACATCCGCAGGATCGTGAAGTACTGTTACTAGTGCTGATATAATTAGTACGTACATTAGTTTTCATAAAAATCTAATATTTTATTCATTAATGAGGTTTGTATATTCTTCTTCCATCCATGGTTTAAAATTACTGATAAATGAATTGATCTCAATGAACATTCAGCACACCTGCTTAATTAGTAAAACAATGTCAATACAATTAAATACATTTTTTTTATTTATAAATGCATCAATGTAAGAACATACAATTTGCCAAGAAAAATAAATATATATTTACAATGTTTAAAAATATTAGACAAAAATACAAATTCTATAAATCTAAAAGTTTTTTAAATATACCTACAATAATAAATAAATAATATGCTTTATTAGTAATGATATTTGAGTTAAATATATGAAGTGATTTAAATAAATGTTTTTAAAGTAGGTCATGAAACAAGTTTAAATTTCTTCTTTTTAAGAAAAGTTTGTATTAGGCTTTCCCAACAAAATGGCCGTTATGGGAAGGGTTGGCACATCTAAGAGGTTGCGACTTACCATGTGCTCTATCTACAACACGTAAAATAGTGAATAATAGAATAAATTTAAATATTTTATGTCGAACTCGAACTCAATAAAAATATTATTTTTAATAAAACTGCTTAAACATTTTTCGTAAATTGGCAAACTTGGCGACTAAAATTTCGAATAAAAATAGATGGAAGGCTATCTCGCAACCCCTTAGGTATACAAGCCCTTAGGTTCCTATGCGACCCAGATGGATCTGGCGTGGTCTTATTTAGAAAAAAAAATTATCACGTTACTGTTGATATGAATGCATTAAAAATAGGACCAAATACAAAATATTGTTTCTAAATTAATAATTACAATTAATCGTTTTCGTTCAATGGTCCTTGGATGAGAGACATATCCGTTTCTTCCACGGTGTTCTTAGAAACCCAATTTTCCCTGGAAGAACTGTAAATAAGAATTATTATTAATTATTATGAATAATAATGAAATTTATTCATGCATTTACTAATCTATTTTAAAAAATAAATGTAGTAGTATAATTCGAAAAACGAACTAGTAGATTTTTTGATTGCTTTACTAATTAAATAAAAAATTTGTGATCAATCCCTAATATTAGTAGTAAAAAATATAATTATTCATTGTAATTATTTGGTCAGATGGGGTATGGCATGCCAATAAGAATGTTTACAAAAGGATACATGCGTTATTTAAATAGACAGTTTGCTTTTAATATTTTTAATAGAGACTAATTTAGGCAAATTACTTTATTTTATCGGGCAAACAAACTATTCAGATTTAAGCTATCATAGTTTAAGGAGAAGTGAGACATATTTAGCTGTTATTAATCCTAAAAATAAAGATAGAAAATGAGAGAAACTCAGAAATTGTGTCCCAGAAAAGTCAATAGATTTGTTCGGATTACCTTTGAGGACCTTTTCAAATCGTTATCATGCGCATTTAAATTTACGTGTTCGGGTTTTTCCAAATTTAGTTCTAGAACACCCTGGGATTGACTGTTTTGTGTTTTGGTTTTTTCAATAAATGTCATTAACAATCCTAGAACCGTTCTCAATGATTTCCAAGAAAACTTGCGAACTGATGGGACTTACGGTTCGTAGACAACACAGTGGCCTCGTCGTCCGTTGCTAAGAAAGGGCGTGACGTCACGGAATTAAAAAATATTCTGTTGCGATTCGTACATTAGTGTTTTAGAAAATCTAATATTTTATTATTATTTAGTGGTGTTTATATTTTTATTTTTGGACTATACACCTGCGTTGGAGTTTTTATAAAATCGGTAATTTGATTTTTTGAAAGACAAGCTACAAAACGGCATGGAAAAGTCATGTAATGATTTCCATCGAATTTCAAATGAATTACTTTTTATTTGAATTATAAAGAGAAATATTGTGTGAATGGTTTATTTTAAACATTTTGGATTAGGGTACGACCTCTTTGCTAAATTCGGATCACACTTTGTTTATATTCCGAAATATTTTTAAATCTTGGCAAGCCTGAAAGTGAGCCGTAGTTTTGCTGTCGGCAAACTATTTTTACTGTTTACACACAATAATCGTTAGAACAAATAAAGGGACCGAGCCTAAACAGAAGTTAAAGACTAATGGTAAGATTTTAGAGTAACTATTCTGCAAATATCATTATAAGAACTAGGCTTAGGAAAACCAAAGGCTTTAATGTTGCAAGTGGCTAAAGGGTATCTTTTAAGGAAAAATCGAGATTATACCTGATTTTTCCACACAAGCCCATCAATTATATGAAAACGTACATCATCACTAGTCCGAAAAACATATTTTCTTGAATGACCCGAATGTATAAGTGCATTTTGAGGTCTGAAATTTTTTCTGATAGAGAAAATCGAATTTTCCATGTGTTATCCCCAAAAGCCACTCGTAAATTTTCTTTTATTCTACTCAACATCGATATACTTTTTAACCCTCTTCGAGGCTTGTATGCGAAAATGGGCACTATCTGACGGTCTATAAAATGGAAGTTAAAAAAGAACAATTTTTCACTAAAAAGAGGCAATTTTTTTTATTTAATCAAATATTTTTCACTTGGAATTCTCTTCTGGAGAATATTGTAATTGTTCTGTTAATGTTTTCAAGAAGGAACTTGATAATTTTCCATTTTGTAAATTAACATTTCATCAAATTAAAATTTCATTGTTTGTTCATCGGTTTACTTGGTGGTGTTTTGTATTTAGTTAATATAGACTTATGGGTCTAATGTTCCCTGCTCTAATCAAATTATAATAACAACAACTCCCTTAGCCTACTTTTATGGGGGAAAGGGTGATGAAATATTTCAACATTTTGCTAAAGCCATTTGTTTTGTTTTACTTCGAGTCCTTTCTGGCCTTTTCTCGAAACCAGACGATTATGTCACATCTCGTCATAGACAGAGCTAAAGTTCAAAAACTAATAGATAACAATATACAAAGTGATGCATCAAAAACGAAACAGAAACATTTATTTTCAGCTAAGTTATTTTTTGGAAAAACGCTCAGACCCGTCCATTTTGTTTTCGAGGCGGACACAAAATTGACAAAAAATCACGTTAACGCGTGCGGTCCCTTAGGCGTCGAATAATTCATCATTTGAAAGTTCTTTCAATTCCCCTTATAATGATGTAAAATTCATGTAGTTTTAAAGATTAATTGATCCACCAGCATGTGGATTGAACAATAACAATGTGAAACAGAAAATGGTTATTATAAATACTCCCGAGTGAGATGAGAAATAAAAATGGCTGCGCCCATAGAGTCGCATCTTGTTCTATTAATACAATATGCACATTGGCTTTCTACCCCACTCCAGTTCATTGGTTTCCGCTTACTAGTTGTAAGACAATGGTTGTTGTTGGTTGTTGTATTTGTTGTAAACCATACATAGTTTGAATAAAGAAAATCAAAGGTTAATTGAAGTATTATTTAAATAATAAAGTATATAAATTAACAAAAGTATCTAAGAAGATTGGCTAATAAGGATAATTTTAAAAGTTTGTTTATTTTGTTATTTTAAAATGGTTTAGTTTTAATTAACTTTAAAACTACTTAGTTTTATGAAGGACTTGAAGGTTGTTTGGTTTTATTATGTTCTAGATTGTGACGTTATAGGTTTTAAGTAGTTTTAAAGAGATTCTTAATGTAACTAATAAAAACTATTATTAAATCTGCTTGATCTTAAAACTATTTCATTACTTTATCTTATAACGCCTTTCTTAAATGCAATTAGAAAGCTATATTGAAACGGAACGCTCTTTACTAATTCTGAGACATATCTCGTATAGAAATCAAATTTAAGCAACGATGCTTCATATTTTCAATTGAATCACTTCAAGGTTTTCAAAATGAATTATCTCAACATCATTATCAAGTTCGTCAATATTTGCACGCGCAGAATTGCTAACCACTTAAAATTGGTAACAATATTAATCTACATACAAAATACCGAGCTGACAATCATGAAGTCATGTCAAAACAAAATTTACTCATGAGCGAAACGCGGAAATTCACTAGCAACCCGAACTAAGACGATCAAAGAGAATTCGTCACTCGATTCAACGATTTCGAATTGCTCAATTAGTATTCATAATTTTTATGATAAATTAAATTTGCGTATGAGAGACTGTAATATACTTTGTTGGTGTTATAAGAGATATAATAGCAGTAGCAGTTGATTGACATTTTGAAATATATTAAATATATTTAATTATAAGAAGCCATCTGGATAAATTATAATTGGGCTGTGAAATTTAAATGGTTTTGCTTTGTACTGTTTGTACTTCAGCCACTTCTATAGAATGTCATTTTTTATTTGACATTTTCATTATGAACAAAGTTTATTACCTCCAAATGATACTGCGACCAACAAAGACACAAATAATTAATATTTGCATTAAACTATAAAAATTATAGAAAATTTTGTCTACAAACGTTTAAACACAAACCAACTCTTTTCCACAATCCAGCATAAAAGGTTATGCAACATTTGCAATGAGTTTTCGATCTCTTCTTCTTATTATAAGCTTTTCCGGTTATTCTGGACAACCTATTGTATCACTCCTGTAAATTTTAGAGGATGTACTAAATACATACATTTTCTACATAAATCTTACTTAAAACATTTTCATATGTATTTATTGCCAACAAAAATACTGAAAAATTTAAATTTTACACTTTTTCTTAAATTTCCCTTATCTATTTTATAGAAATTATCTGTGGAATAAAAAATATAGAGAATGATCTCGCAAACAACTTTTCCAATAGTAAATAACAGAGATATTTCTTACAGGAAAAAACGGGACTCTATAAAGTACCCCCAGATCCTTCGACTATGCCCAAAATTTAATCATCACAGGATGGATTAAGGCTTAAGTTTAAAATTTAATACTTTTTTCTTTATCCTCTTTTGAGTTATCTTCAAATTTCTCGAATACGGTCCACTTTAGGACAAACATTATAGAGAATGGCATCAATGGGGGACCGGGAAGCAATTAAAAAGGTAACAATCATACAATGTAACTTGCAACACAATATCTACAATAGATCTGAAAAGGTCAAGATATGGAGGTCACATGGCCACGGTTATAATTAAATCTAATCTAACTTGCAGCACAGAAGGATGACTACTGTAACATTATGCCTCCGCCTTGATGAGCTACAAGATACAATAGGAATACAAACCCTGGATTAGAAACTCCCATCAACCAATAACCTAGAAGAGCCATTTACATTCCTAGGAAATACAAAGCACGCCCAATGGTGCACTTTTCTACCTCCGATTAAGCTGATGTAGTTAGGATGGAATAAGCCATCAAAAGGGAATAGAAAACGTTGATCCTGGCATCTGCATACCTTGCCTCCGACGCAACCACACTACCACTCAACAAAGAGATGGAGGATCTGATTGAATACTGCCTAAACCAGAAGTTTGAGGTACTCAAATACTCATCACTTCAATTAGGGCAGTAAGGATAACAACGCTAAGAGTTGGTATTTTCTATACTACTACACCAACATTTTCAAACTTCCGCAGTCAAACACTAATAGATATCAATCTTTATCCACACGTGGCACAACTGGTAAGTGTTTGATAACATTTTGATTTCAGACCATCGCTGGTTAATATTCAAAAGAAACTTAATGTTGCAGACCTCCACGTTATCTCTGAATCCTAGGAAAACTAACAGGGCAATCTATCCTTACCTTCTTCAAGAGGCTCTGGAAGAGGTGTAGGCTAAAACACCAGACAACAATGCTTTGAAAAAGTAATTGAACACTGTCCAAAAGACAATAAACAATGTCTATAAGAAATCCTGCCCCCTGAGGCTGGTCCAACACGATCAGACGACTACTGCATGGTGGTGTCGCGAGTTGAATCACCTCAAAAAGATGTCCAGGAAAATCTTTAATAAGGCAAGAGCTACAAAACTCAAAGAGGATTGGAATACTTATAAATTTCACCTCAGCGATTAAAAAATAAATCGATAGACAAAACCAAGAAGTAAATGGAGATCCTCTGGTGAAGAAATCGAAGATTTTCCGCAGGTAGCGAGGCTTCAGAAAGGTTTTTGAAGAGATCTACACTTCAGAATCGGTGCGGTAATCAAAGAGGATGGCATAAAAACTGAAAACCTCGAAAATAGCATCAAACTTCTGTTGTCAACATATTTCTTTGACTCAGTCATCATAGACATTGCCGGCTGGGTAGAGGAAGAATACAACCCATCTGTCTAACTGCCAAACATATTATAGACGATGACAACATTAGATGGGCAAAATCTAACTTCTCTACATTTAAATCGCCAAGACCTGACAGTATCTATCCAGACCTACTTCGATGGAGTCTGGAAGAATTCACATCGCACCTAGTAGGTATATTGAGATCCTTATTGGCTCTGAGGTACATCTCCAAAAATTGGACAGAAGTAAAAGTGGCCTTTATATCTAAACCTGGAAGGATGGATAACACTGTCCCAAAAACAACGACCAATTAGTTTAACATCGTTTTTCATGGTGATTACTTTTGTGTATTTGTATGTAGATCTACAGATTCAGCCCGATACCTAGTTGCTGGCCAAATAGAGAAATCCCTGACCAATAAGGAGTACGCATTTTGTGTTTTCATAGTCATAGAAGGTGATTTTGAGAAAAACCCCTATATTTTTTTCTCCAAGCGTAAATAGTCCTTAAAGTAGAAGAACGACCTATAAAGGATCCTCCAGATGCTCCGACTATGTCCAAAATCTAATCAACTGATTAGAGGAAGGATTAAAGATTAAAATGAAAATTTAGTGTTTTTTTCTTTATCCGTTTATGAGTTATCGTGGATACAGACACACACACACACACAAACACATCATCGCGAAAATATTCAAAACGGATTCAGGGTACCCTAAAAAATAAACTGGAGGTCGAAAAAATTATGATTCCCATACTTTTCTTCTGTATACAGACCGGAAAGTAAAAATCGCATAAGTGTAAATTACAAGATCCAGTTGAATAAGGGATTTTGATGTACCTGTTTATTGTCAAAAAATTATCCAAGGTATTGAAATGTTTCTCTGGTCTCTCAATACTCGTCATTATACTTTCATACTTGTAACATTCGATAATTTTTGTTTTTTGTCCTGTAATGAATACTATTTTTTAAATTTAATTCGGTTAATAAAAGTTATGACAAATTTGTCACAAACATTTTTTCAATTTCAAGGTTAAAATGTCATTCTATGGAAGTGGATAAAGTACCAATCCAAAAAATTTATTAAAAACAAGCTATCTTACTTTAATTGCAACAATGTCAAATATTCTTCAGTCGTATTTATTGCATCAAAGTTATTACTTTTACCTATAACTTTACGATATCGTTTGTTTTTAAAATAATTAAATTCTTAACGCCACCACACTTTCAATGATTTATTTTTTTATTATAATGATATGCATTAAACAATTCGGAAGTTAATTCAAGGGCAGGACCGGGTTCCACTTAGGAACATGTTGGATGTATTTCTAACAAACACCAAATAATCTACTAAATCATAATTCTGCTTTTGAAATCGGGGTTTTTGTCAATAAATATGCATTTTTATTGGGTACAGTAATAATATTTTGATGGTATTAGGTAATTTTTCCCAACAAAAAAAATAATAATGAAATCAGGCCTTGATACTGATTTGGGACAGTGGTATTTTAATCAGGGTCTCTAAAGTATAATCTACCAACCAAATTTCAATTAGAAGTTAATATTTTTATAAATAATCAAAATATATACCATAAATGGTTAACGATTAATAAGTTAGGGGTTGCTCTGGGTTCAGCTAAATATGCCTATTCTCTACTTTTCTTCATACTTTGTCTGTTTTAGTTCTTCTGCAGATTTTAATTTTAACACATTTCACACCCTTGCGCCTTGCTTTAAAAGTGACACATCTCAAAATTTACATTTTTTTTTTAATAATACCATGAATGTGATTATCCAACAACCCTACACCAATCATCAAAATTATTTTAACTTAGCTTAGAAGATAGTCGTCTAAATTTTGTCGTTTTGTTATAGGGTTGTTTAGTTATAATAAAGAAGAGCGTGGGAGGTCGACCTTCACCCATCTGATAACCAGATGAGGCATATTTTTTATAAAATTTTATTGATTTATTAACACGCCTATGGGAACTTGCCATTCGAAGAGTATTCATGTCTATTTTTAATTAAATAAATTTTTTTTATAACCTTGACTTTTTTAATAACCGAACAAATTTAATTTTAACAGACAGTTTTTAACATGGAAAATATGCCTCAGTAGGCTTGTTTACTTATTTATGTTCATGGCTACCTAGCAAGCAGGTATGAACAGGTAAGTCAATATAGGTAACTACACCGACATATCAACCAATAAAAATTGATATTAGAAGAAAGATAATTTAATTATGAAAATAATCGTATAGGCGTGCCTACAAAAAAACTGTTCATAGAATACTAATGCATTGCTTTAAAGTTTTAATTGCTCCGATTTTAAAACTGAGGCATATTTTCCATGGTAAAAACTGTCTGTTAAAATTAAATTTGTTCGGTAATCAAAAAAGTGAAGGTTATAAAAAAATTGAATAAAATTTATTTAAATAAAAATAGACATGAACTCTTTTCGAATGGCAAGTTCGCATAGGCGTTAAGTTCGTTAATAAATCAATAAAATGTCATAAAAAATATATCTCATCTGGTTATCAGATGGGTGAAGGTCGATCCCCACGATTTCTTAGATTAATATCACATTTATGGTATTAAATCAGGTGTGAATTTTGAGATGTATCACTTGAAATTAGAGAAAAATGTAAATTATTTTTTTTTAATGAAATACTGCCGAATGATAATTATTATTCTTGAACAAAATTCGTCGAAATTCGCTCTTTTAATTAAAAGCCAAGAATGAATGGTCTAGTGGGAAACTATACGTTGCATTTATAATTAATTTCTAATCCATTATTATTCAGAAACAATTCTCGCAATAATTATAACCTACATTCGCATGTATTTGTTCTAGCTATAAAATAATTAAACCAACCTTTTTACAGTGTTTGCCCCTAACAGAGTCAATTCCGTAATAATGGTCGTAGTATCCCGTCTCCGGTGCAAATTACGTAAGCTAAACAATAAATAAAATTCCTAATAAAATATTTTATTTCTTTATATTTTACTACTATAATAGATCAAATAAAAATATTGAATTTTATTAATAAAAAATCACTGAATTTTAAGATACTTTTTTAAATAATATTTTGACCAGTTCTACCCACACCTGAACTTTTCTAGGTTTAATTTTGGGAAATATTTCAAAAATTAACGAATTAAATTTTTGAAATAAACAAGTAAAAAGTTAAACTTACTTTATTTCAGTCTCTTCTATAGATGGCCTTTTGTACTTACAGCAAAATACCCATTTGGTTGTTTCACCACTAAAATAAAAACAATTATTATTATTATTATTATATTAAAAAATCTACCAAGGATATAGAATGAGAATAACAACGCTTAATGATGAGATGTCGGTAGGGGTGGGCAAAATATTCGAATTAATCGATTTGTCGATTTTTTTTTATGGATAATCGATTATTTTCGAATAATCGAATAATTTCTATTAATCGATCATCGATTTAAAAAAAAATAGTCGATCAATTCAAAAAAGAATAATCTGCTATCGATTAATCGGCTATCGATAAATCGACCTGGAATGCCGAGATATAATAGTGGTTGCGGTAATAATTCCGAATTAATAATATATCGGACTGCACGCATAGTATTTCGATTAGTCGATTATTTCCAGCTAAATATTCGATTATTCGAATATTTTCCAATATTTTCTATTATTTTCAAACATTTACGATTATTTTCGTTTGTTTTCGATTTTATTCGATTATATTCGATTATTTTCGATTACTTTCAATTATTTTAGAATATTTTTAATTATTTTCGATTAGTTTCGATTATTTTCGATTATTTTCGAATATTTTCGATTATTTTCGATTATTTTCGATTATTTTCGATTATTTTCCATTATTTTCGATTATTTTCGATTATTTTCGATTATTTTCGATTATTTTCGATTAATCGATTATCGATTTAAAAAAGTAAGTATACTAATATATTATCGATTTAAAAAAGTCGACTAATCAATTAATCGATTGTTTTGTCCACCCATACCTGGAATTCCGAGATATAATAAAGGTCGCGTTTGCAATAACAGTTAAAAATTAATAATTTATCGGAAATGCGCCCAAAATATTTCGTATTTCGATTAATCGATTATTTCGGGCAAAATATTCGATTAATAATCGATTTGTCGATTTTCTTAAAATAGAAGATCGTTTATTTTCAATTATTCTCGATTATTTTCAATAATTTTCGATTATTTTTGATTATTTTCGATTTTTTTCGATTATTTTCGATTATTTTCATTATTTTCGATTATTTGCGATTATTTTCGAATAATCAATTATTATTGTTCACCTCTACTTGGAATGCCGTGACATAATAGAGATTGCGTCCGCGGAACATTTTAGAATTGATAATACATCGGACATGCGTTCAAAGTATTTCGTATTTCGATTATTTTGGATTATTTTGGATTATTTTGGATTATTTTGGATTATTTTGAATTATTTTGAATTATTTTGGATTATTTTGGATTATTTTGGATTATTTTGGATTATTTTGGATTATTTTGGATTATTTTGGATTATTTTGGATTATTTTGGATTATTTTGAATTATTTTGAATTATTTTGAATTATTTTGAATTATTTTGGATTATTTTGGATTATTTTGGATTATTTTGGATTATTTTGGATTATTTTGGATTATTTTGGATTATTTTGGATTATTTCGATTATTTTGATTATTTCGATTTGATTTGATTAAATTAAATTTAAAAAACCGGAACTATATAACACAAAATAAAAATAATTAATTAATAATTAAAATGAATGAAGTTATGTTTTCTCAAATCATTCACAAATTATAATCGATAAAAGAATATGTAAACAATATCAGCCTATCGATATTTTTAATTATCAGTAATTAAATAACAGTTTATAAAATATCACCCATCTCTATTAGATATTCATTAACTTTTACCAACCTGTAATTTACAGGTACTAGTTTTCAACCACACTATGCTACTTTTTACATTAAGTAATTATTTTTGAATTGTATGATTTTTACTTACTTTTGCAGAGTTCTGTTATCTGGGGCAATTGAAATTAATGCGAAATTCCTACAAGGAGTGTACTCGTTATTTCGGAGTGACATACGAAGGTAGAAGCTATTTTTGATCGCAGTTTGTACCTAAAACATAAAATTAATTCTAAGTCGATTTTGCTAAAGATTTTTTAAAAAAATATCAAGTTTCAATTGAATGACCTTTTCAACATTCATTTTATTTAATTAGATGTTCTATTTGGTAGTACCCAAGTTTGTTGTTAAATATTAACGCTGTGCGTTACTTTTTGTTCACTCTGTATGTGTCTTTACTGTACAATAGTATTACTCGAATGTTTGATGGTTTCTTTAAAATAAAGTGCTTTTGCTTAATGCACTTTATTATATAAATTTAGGAGCAATAAATGAACTAAATGTTTTTGAAATTTGTAAAATATTTATACTCATACCTACAAAAACTTTTTATTTTTATGTATTTCATAAAAAACACCAGTTTTAATAATGAACTATTATAATTTTACAATTTTTTATTATCGAAAACGTCTCGTCCATCCAAAGCCGACTCTGGTTCAAATCCACGTAATATTTTTGTTTTGAATAACAAATACTTGTCCATTCCAGACCACATTTTATAATTCTCAATATTTTTATTATCTAACTTGCTCAATTACAGATAGAAAGGGTGTCATTAGCATTCCTATTCAAGGACAATAAATCTGATATTCCTTTATTTACGAACTGACAAGAACAGGAAGAAATAATACGTTGATTATAATTGATTACGTTGGATAAAGTCCGTTGATTTGTAATATAAAAGGAAAACAAAAATATTTAAATAGAGGTTATTTAACGATACCTTTATCGATCACTAGGTCGAGTAAAACAAGAGATTTAATAAAAATGGCCAATATACTAAGATGACATAAGGGAAAAGATTGTTATTCAGTTTCTGTTAAATCATTGAGTAAATTAACAACAAGGTATATAACAAATAACATTAAATTGTTTAAATAGTTATTCATTATTGACTTCTTGGATATTTTTGATATCAAGGTGAAAGTTAATGACAAGTGGAGAGAAAGGTTTCAGCTTAGATTATAGATAGTAATCTGAGGGTTCAAAATCTATAAATGTGATCATACTTGTATGAACCGCTCTTGAATGCTTCAGTAGCTCTCGAAGTGCGAAGTGTTGGCACGTCGCGTTTTCAACCGATATGTAAAAAACGTTTATTTGATTGCCAAAGTAACTTTTTGAGGTAAAGAATATTTTAAAATATCTTCTTCATCCTAGTAGTAGTAAAAAACATTATATTTCTAGAAGAACACGTGGTGAGGATAATCATTTCGCAAGTTAGTCATTTTGTTTTGCTCTTTTTACTTGTCTATCTGTCTGTATACAGATAAGGAAAGTATAGGAATCATGATTTTTTATGTTGTACCTAATTTTCTCATTATTCTTGATATTGTACGTTGGGGTAAGATATAACAAATTCTTTGGGGTACATTATAACGTGATACAACATACCCTGCGCTATAAGATACAGTTGTTTTTATTTGCAGTATGATAAACTACAAGAAAACAAGTGAGAGAGGGCAGACACCCAAAGAGGTGATGGAGAATGCCGTAATAATACATAATAATGAATCGGTTAGATCTTATTCTCTCCAGATATGTTAGGCGATTTAGGCAAAACAACAGTAATGGCAACGATACAAGTTTAAGAGCATATGGCTACAGCAAAAACAAACGTTTACCAACGAGGTTTAGCACGAGGAGCTAGTAAAGTACATAAAACACTGTTCTTAAACTTATTTTGGTTTGTCTCCTAGATATGTTAAAAAGCTGGCCTGTGAATGTGCAACTGCTTTCAATACAAAAGTCCCAGAATCGTGGAAAAGAAACCAAGCTGCTGGGGAAGACTGGCCAACAAGTTTTCTAAAAAAATATCCAACGCTTTCTATTCCTGTTCCTGATTCGACTAGTATTGGAACGGTTACAAACTTCAATAAATTCAACGTTAGTTCTTTTTTTGACAAGTTAGTTGATGTGCGCGACAGATTTAATTTTGCGCTATTCGATGTATACAATTTAGATGAGGCTGGTTTGTCGACTGTACAAAGAATACGAAAAGTTATAGCAGAAAAAGGAACCAAACAAGTTGGAGGCATATCTTTTAGCGAGCGAGGAGTCTTAGTAACAATGTGCATTGGAGTAAGTGCTATAGGAAATCATGTTCCTCAGATGTTTTTTCCCCCAGAAGCGTTTCCAAGATCATTTTATCCGAGATGGTCCTCCAGGGTGCATTGGTGCTGGCAACGAATCCAGTTGAATGAGAGCTGATGGGTTTTACACCTTTAAGCAGCACTTTGTTTCTTATGTTTGACCCTCTAAAGAAAAACCAGTCCTACGACTTTCACACGTCTTATAAGACCGTTCAATATGCCAAAGACAATGGGGTAGTACTGCTTTTATTCCCTCCCCATTGTTCCTACCGTCTGCAACAACTCGACAGTTCTGTGGATGCGAAATAATTCGGGTAAATCAATGACCATCTACGACTTACCCGGACTGGCACGAGAAGCTTTGCCTTTGGCTCTTACACCCAGAAATATTACCAAAGGCGTTCAGTGTACTGGCATAGAACCTTATTTCAACAGAAACATATTCAGTGAAGACGATTTTTTATCGGCAAGTGTTACTGATCGCCCCTCGCACCTGAAGCTCTAGTAGAGAACAAGTAGATAACCAGCGATCTTTCTGTTGGAACTCTTCAACTAGTGCCAGTAGAACCTGAAAAGAACCTACTAACTACTCCTCATGATGCGCTTCCAGAAACAAAAGATAATCAGCCAACTACTTCATCAGCTGGTTATTTAAATCAACCTACTACCTCCCGAGTTTAACAGGCTACTACTTTTACTTTTTTAGTTCCTGATTTAGAGAATTCTACAAATTTTACCTCTGGATACAATAACAAAGTTCCTTCTACTTCGCAGAGCCCTGATTTTTCTCCAAAGCTAAGTTTGTCACCACCACACTTTTCTCCTGCGGCTGTTAGACCAATTCCCAAATCTGCACCTAAGAAACAAACAACTAGTGGTTGGATAAAAGAAAGGCTGCGGTTCTAAGTGATACACCTAAACTAGATACTTTAAATTGTGAAGCTGCAAAACGTTCAAAAGTAGGTAAAATGCCAATAGCAGCAAAAAATAAGTTAAAAGCAGCAAAGAGGAACGTTCTAGTAGAATCATCTGATGAAGATGACACCATTTGTATTGTTTCCTGCGATAATTACGACAACAGGAAAACAGGGAAGTATGGATTCAGTACCGTAAATGCAAGGAGTGGGCCCACGAAGAATGCACCTTGTGTATATCTTCAAATTATACCTGTCATTACTGCAATTCTGACAAAGACTAAATGACAATCTAAACATTGAGAATCGCAAATAAGCGCTATAAATTTTTTTTTTTTTTTCAAATGAGTATATTTATTATTTGTTTTTTAATTTATCCACATTATCCACAAGATTTGTTTATTTTTCTTAAATCAGTTTTGTTTTTATTAGAAGATAAATTTTGTTTACTTTTTTTACTTAATTTTTTTATTTGATTTTTTAAATCAACCCAGTAATAATGCAGTTCTGTATATTTTATTTCATCAGAAATATCACAAGACAGTTATTTGTAACATTTTGTCTGCCGATTGTAACAAATGCAAAGCTTCATAATTTCTGTGTTGTAAAACTCCCATAAAATTTTGATTTAAAATTCCGTGTCAATTGAGATTCTATTACATGATATAACGACTCTGTTTGGTTATAATTATTTTACAAAATGAACTTTTTAGAACACAATAAAGACGCAAATAATATTTTGGTTTTGCGTTGACGTTTTGATTGTTTATGTTTTTGTACTGTCTTGAAAAATGTTTTATTTACAGAGGAAAAAGCTGTAAGAAATTAGATCATTCAGAGATAATAAACCACCTTAAATGTTGATTAATATATTGCTTTTTGTAACATGTTAGACAAGTTGTTATATTTTTTAATATTTAAATTTAAAAAGTGTTAGTTAATTTTATAGAGCTAGAGCTTTATGAGGATATTTCCCTCTCTCTTAATTTTGAATAAATATTCTTTTATTTTTGTGAAAGTTTAATGTCGTGACAATAATGAAGTAATAGATTTACTTCGTTAAGAAAACTGGTAAAATAAATAGTATAAATATTTTTAGAAGGAGAATCTCTGCAATAGTTTTGTATTTAAATAATGTTTTTATTGATTCATTAAATTAATTATAGTCACAATTATATTTACTAAGAGATGAAGTGTTTTTTTTGCTTTATTATTGGGAATATTGATTTAATAGGTATTAAATTGTATGATCATATTTGGATAATCCAAATGAGTTTTTTCAGAAAGTGAAACTATGTATTGCAGGATGTTATTTTAGTAATTACCGGAAAAACTTACCTACTATCCTGGATTAGAGAGTCTTATGTCATTAAATAAATATTAAATATTGTTTTATTTCTAAACACTCAGTGTGTACACACCTATCATCGTCTTAAACCATTTATAGTTGTTTGAACTCGTAATAGAAATATATTTACCCTCTGCGTAATCATTTTATATTTACCACTTGATTTTATTATCTAAAAAGCAAAATAAAAAGACTTACTTCTCCGTTGAGGAAACAGTACAAAACAGCAACGAAGAATCCTTGAAACGTTCCCAAGAAATAAGATGAAAAGAGCCACGCTGCAAATTTCCAAGCTTCGTTAAATTTATAATGGAAAAATAATATGTGCGATATTCCCATAAGTGGTAATAAAAAAATGGCAGCTCGAACAGCTTTCCTAAAAAAAAAATAATAATTTTATAAGAATTTTTTAAGAATTTTATAAGAATTTTATAAGAATTTTATAAGAATTTTATAAGAATTTTATAAGAATTTTATAAGAATTTTATAAGAATTTTATAAGAATTTTATAAGAATTTTATAAGAATTTTATAAGAATTTTATAAGAATTTTATAAGAATTTTATAAGAATTTTATAAGAATTTTATAAGAATTTTATAAGAATTTTATAAGAATTTTATAAGAATTTTATAAGAATTTTATAAGAATTTTATAAGAATTTTATAAGAATTTTATAAGAATTTTATAAGAATTTTATAAGAATTTTATAAGAATTTTATAAGAATTTTATAAGAATTTTATAATAATTTTATAAGAATTTCATTTTTTAACATTAATAGTGATCTGAAGTTAAATCAATTTTGAATTTTATGAAAATATTTCTCGACCAGACCTTAAATTTTTACTATATAAAACAGCTGTATCGTACGCAAAACCCAAAATTTAATTTTTAGATTTAATTGTAAACAAAATGTTATTATATAAATTAAAAAAGAACACATCTTACCGGTAAAAATCTACTGTATGAACTATTTACTTTTACCACTTGTGTTCTTTTATTTAAATAGGTTTTAAGTGATAAAAATAAAAACAATTTAACTTTATAAAAATTCTTGTAGACCTAACTTTCTTTTTTTATAAAAGGCCGAAGATGAAAAGGATGCTAATTCAGAAGAATACAAAATATGTATTCAGTATAGAGGTATGAATTTAAGACCGTGGGGCATGTGGCCTCTTCTACCTCGACCTTTTCAGATCTATTGCGGATATCCTTTAATTGCTGTTTAGAGTACTCTGTCTAATTCGATCTTTTGTAGTAGATTCCATAGAATGGGAAGTAGTTATCCGGTATAGCTAGTTGCCCTTGGTTTTTCTTCTCCAAGTGTAAGGAATCTCAGTCTTGCTAGACCTTCGCAGTAACACAATACGTGTTCCGCCGTTTCCTCCTCTTCCTGACAGAATCGGCACAGGGTATTCTCTGTCAGAGCGATATTATACATATGTTTGTTAAGCCTACAATGCCCTATTAATAGGCCTACTAGTACTCTAGTATTTTTCCTATTAAGGTTATTAAAGGCTATTTAAGGTTAGATACTTGGTGAGTTTAGGAAATGGTCCTTTTAAGAACTCTTTGGCCTGTCTCTGTCCTGGGGAGTTTATCCAGCACTCCTGAGATTTTTTAAACATCCACTGCTTTGTACATGTTCTGATAGTTGTTTTTGTTCCACCACAAAAGGATTCTGGGCCAATTAGAGCAATTGAGGCTCCTTCTCAGGCCAGTAAATCATCCTTTTCATTGCCCTTATGTCCTCTGTGGCCGGGTACTCAGGCTAAGGTTAGTCTGTCCTGACTACCCAGCTCTGTTAGGGCTTCCACACAGTCTTATACAAGCTTAGAGTGTGCCTGCATGGAACTGAGTGCTTTTAACGTTGCTTGACTGTCTGAGTATATGTTACCTCCTTTGCACAGTGATGTATTGCTGCTATTTCTGCCTGGAATACTGTCGCATGTAGTCCCCAATTTTTTCCACACAACCTTCGACATAAGTTGAAAGATGTTGTGCTCTTTTGGGTGACTTTTTGCAAGTGTTGATTCCATGTTAACCTATGATCAAAGATAACTCCTAAGTATTTGGCCTCTGGGAAACGGAATCTTCACTCCTTTCAGTACAGGTGACTTTAGTCCTGTTGGTACTTTTAGTTTTGTAAAGTTAAATATTATGGTTTTGTGAGGGTTTACTGTTAGTTCTTCCTCTCTGCACCACTCGTAAACAATGTTTGGAGTGGTTTGTGTGCGCTCCGATATTGTACCTGCGAACTTGCCTCTTACGATGATCGCCAGGACATCGGTATACCCTAGGCAGTAGAACTCCGCAGATATTTTTATAAGTTCGTCTACTAGGATTGACCAGATGAGAGGTGATAGCACTCCCCCCTGAGGGCAGACCCTGCCTGCTTTAGCTGTCAGTGTAGCTTCGTGTATTAAGTGTAGCACGTCTGTATTAATTATTTTGCGCTTAATAGTATGGTTGAATGTTTTTAGTATGTTTAGTATGTAACGATAACAGAAATTTAAAACAGAGTTTCAACTGATTAATTGTTTTACCAAATATTTATTTAAGAGCTTTTGTTACATAAATTGTAAGTGTTTAAATAACGAATGGATATTCGTATTTAAACAGCAGTTTTGTTTTGAGTTAGTAATTGATTCATTGATTAAAGGGTAATAAACACGTCTTTCTTTGAAATATAAATTAAAGTGTTTAAGTAAAAACAATTATCCTGAACAATATTTAGATTATAGTGTGTCAAAAATATATATTATACATTTGTACGAGGATTTATTATTTATAGTATTCCGTTAACATTAAAAAAAGAAGTCCTAATTTTTAATATTGATTCAAATAAACTGTTACTTACCTTACTTGTTCTATCTCACTGGTGTGACTTTCCCTTAATTTTACTACTAAAACTCTGATGATATTTAGAAGAAACATAAGATTTATCTGAAACAAAAAACACAAAAAATTATAACAAATTATACTAAATACGAAAAAACAGGAAGTGAACCATGTTGGACCTTATACGCAAATTATAGCGGATTCGACTGGCTGCATTACGACTTTTTTCAAGTGGTGTTTGTTCGACTGGCAGAACCTAATTAATTAAAGTCAACTATTGCATTCAACTGAAATTGCTCAGTACCAAGGCATAGTGAAATTTTTGTTCGACTGACAGGCGCTCTTACTCAAAGTTCGAATTTTTTGGAACTATACTTTTTTTCAGTGCCAGTGCTATTTTGGAAGTTAGGATTTATTTAATATTTTTAAATATATTACCATCTTTGTCTCTTTTATTAGGGAGAATGGAAAATCTTTGAAATTAATAGAGATTTAATTTTTGGTTTAGCAACTATAAATAAATATCGTTAAAAATTTGTTAGAAACCTGAAATGTCAAGTGCTTGCTTGCTGTGTGCACTGCTAGATATAAATTTGAATTATAAAAATGCCACCCAAAATCAATTCAGAACTAAATTTTGGAATTTATTTATGATAGCAGATTTGTGGTTGTAACTTCACCATCCAATAAACAAAAACATAACAATCTCAATAGTTTTATGACACGCAAATCTTGGAAAGACATAAATATTTATCTTTAAGAAAAAAACAGCAAGATTATAAGTCAAAAATATTAATCTCTGACGAGGTAAAAGAAGAATTAAAATGGTTGCTTAATGTCATACCCAGAACATTTGTTTCTCTATTGCCACTCAACACTCAACTACTCCCTAACTATTTACTCTGACGCATCTGTGATAGGGTGGGGGACGTGTACTATTTTAAAATCCACTCAGGATTTTTGGGATTCTACTGAATCCACATTTCATATCAACTATTTGGAGTTATTAGCCGCTTACAATGGTTTTACAAAAAAAATTAGTAATTGTGTTATTCTTCTAAAAAATCGACAGCTATTTGCTATATTAATCGTATGGGTTGAGTAAGAAATATACATATCTCTAGATTAGCACGTAAAATATGGCAATAGTGTGAGATACGTCAGATACATATTATATTCGCAACTTGTATAGAATCGTCGCAGAACTTTTTAGCTGATCTTCAACCAAGGTTTCTAACCTCAATACTGAAATAAGTTTAAATAAAATGATATTCAAAATTTTGGGTTTTCAGAAATTGACCTTTTTGCGTCAAAACTAAATAACAAATGCAAGCTTTTTGTGTCATTGAAAAGAGGCTCCGATTCTATAGCTGTGGATGCATTTACCATGGTGTAAGTATTTCTTTTATGCTGTTCCCCTTTTCCCCTAATAATAAAAACAATAAAAAGGAGAAGGAAACCCATACATGGTATACAATTTTCTTAAAAGTACTTAAATCAAAGCTAATTGACTTAGGTCCTAACAAAAACCTTTTAAAAATCGAAAATAAGAATGATGTTCTCCTTAGTGAGCAAAATCAAAGGTAGAGTGATAAAATTTAATTTTTATCTCTGCTGTCTTTCCTTTGGATATAATTCAATACCTGTTGCGGTATTAGCCAAAGGAGTAGTTGTTTTCTGAAGGGAAACTGTCGCTCGTAATTATGTGATATTGACTTTAGTTTTATTTATTTTATTTTAAAAACTTTTTATCTCATCTTAACAGGAACCCACATCCACTCTGGTCCAAGTTTATCCTGGTGTCAGGGATTTTATCAGGAACTCAAATTTATTAAGAAATATACCGCAATCTACAGTAGATCTATTAATTTCTTCATTAAGTATTAATGCTTTAAAAAAATATAATACGGTTAACAAAAAGTGGTGGTATTTTATTCGCTCCGTGCGCGACAGCAGCGCCAATTTGTTTTGGTATTAAAGGAGTATTTCTGCCTATACTGATAAATACAATTTTTATTAGAATTCGTAAATAAAAAGTATATATGTTAGTTTTAATAAAAGTATATGGATTTATAAAACAATTAAAACATTAATTTATTATTATTATATATTTTTCACGCTTAAATTGAAGAAAATTATGTATAATCATTAAAAATCAATAATAAAATATAGGCAGGCAACAGTATTTACTGGAAAATGTATGAGAAGTTGCCTAAGTCTAATAAGTTGTCATTGAAGAAACCATTTATAATAGCGTGAAGTTAAAATGTATAAAAAGGATCGCTACTTATATTTTCATTTTTGTTCTAAAGAAAACATAGAATGAATGATTAAAACTGGTTTCCGATCAGTAAGTCACAAAATTGCATACCAGCCAAATATTATAATCAACGGCAGAAATCTTGAAATCTAGTCCTTGCTGAATGAACATTTAAGAATAAAGGGATATTAAAGAACATCGTAAAATGATAATTTATTGTTTATTTAAAAACTTTCTAGTTTCTGATGTCTACTATTTCCAGCATTACTGTTATTATCACAAAAATTAAGGTAATTTTTCTTCTTATTGTACACCTATCCATTTATTTCTTTGATTTAATTTCCACTTTGTTAGTGAAATTTGTTATATAAGTTTCACTGTTTTTTTTTTGCTAGTATTTGTACAATTTTCAACACAGCAACTCCGGTTGCTTATTGTGTTGTTTTTACCTACTTTTTTGAAAAAAAGTAAAATGTATACGTGTATTTGATATGCCAAAATTACAAAATATCCCCCTAAAATGCACGAATTATCCGCAGCTAGTGCTAGTATCGCTTTTGCTTCCCTTTCCATGACTTCGCACGGAGCGAATACCAAGGAGAAAAATATTAACGTGTATGCTCCAAATATATCAGAAATAATTACATTTATATACCAATTTTTTCAAAAATGTTAGTTGCAATACTCTGAATACTTTTCTCTCAGCTATTAATTAAATTAGTCATAAAGTTAACGAAAAAATTATAGATATTTGAAAGGAGCATGTAAAATTAAGCCTGTTTTTCCAGAATATCAAACTACGTGGTATTCTAATCTACACTGCACCGCAAAATTAACCGGACACTAAGTGTATTTTAAATAAAATTAAAAAGTATTAGAATAACTTAAATTCCAATATTTTTTTTTATTGTATATTCAATAACAAACCCTAAAATAAAAAAGTTCCAAAATATTGATTAATTTAACAACAAATAAAAATTTATAAAATTTTTGTATTCCGGAGTTCACAACTAACGGGTATTTTTCTGATTGAAATCATTAATTCTAAGATTTGGATATCAAAATCGAGTATTTCCTCCTCGTTTTTAAATAACAGGTCTTATCCTTTATGGCATAGACTGGACGAAAGCAGCAATCTCGTTTTGCGGTATTTGTTCCCACTCATTTACCAGCGCCTCTTCTAACGCTACCACAGTTTCAAACTCGCCATAATTTTGTCTAAGTCTTCTTCCCAAGTTGTCCCACAAATGCTCTATGGGGTTAAGGTCTGGGCTTCTAGGAGGCCAGGCTAGTATCTGAATTCCAACATCTGTAAAGTATTGCATAGTTACCCTGGCTATGTGCGCAGAGCATTATCTTTCATTAAAAAAAAATTTTCACCTACAAAATGCATATAAGGTACCACATGTTCTTCCATACATTCCCTAATGTACCTATCAGCATTAAAGCCAGCTCCCCCTAACAACAAGATCTGTATGTGCTTCCAAAGAAATGCTGCCCCATACCATTGCACCTCCACCACCAAACTGTACTCTAGGAGAGAAACAACATTGGGCATAGCGTTCTCCAAACCTCCTCCAAACTCTTTGGCGATCATCAGGTGAGTATCTCGTAAAACGAGACTCATCTGTAAAAAGAACGTTTCGCCATATCCCAATCTGCATGAGCACGAGAGAATTCTAAGCGTTGTCTTTGATAAGCTGCATCCAGTAAAGGGCCTGTGGCAGGTACATAAGACGATAAATTTTGTTCGCTTAGTTTTCTGAGTATAGTATCAGGTAAAACTACGGTTCCATGAACATCTGCCAGTCTCCTGGTCAAAGCTGTAGCAGTAACTGTCCCCTCTCGAAGTACTTGAAGTTTCAGAAATCGATCTTCAACGGCGTTTGTTACCCTTGGTCTTCCATGTCCAGGTCTTCCAGAGTAAGAACCAGTTTCTCTAAATCTTCGTAAAGTATCAGATATTGTACTTCACTACCCTATAACCCATATACTTTTAATTTAACAAATCTGACTTATAAATGTAAACTATTACTAAAATAAAAACAATTAATATTTTTAAGAGAAGCGAATATATTGAAATTTTAATTTTAGAAATATTGAGAAAGAACAATTCAAACTAATTTTTCTATTTTTTAAAGAAAAGTACGAATTGTGTCTAGCCTCTACACTAATTGAATATTTAAAAAGGACTGAATCTCTAAGACCTTATCATCCAGATTCATCTCAAACAATCTCTAGAATGATAAGATATGTCTCTTTTATAATTACTAATTATAATGTTTATAGCTATTGTATTATAATTTTAGGTTAAGGATTCTTATTATCATAATATTACATTTATACCTAGATAATATTAATAATAATAATAAAAATGAAAGAAAATTATATATTTATAAATTAAAATTATTTTTTATTTTTTATTACAAGGTGTGTATCTTGTCATATCATTTCTTTAAATTATATTACTTGTATTGTTTCATAAAATAAAGTAGTTTATTTTCGATAATATTACAGTGGAGAGAAAGGAACATATGTTCTGGCTTTTCAATAATGTTTCGACACATGAGTTCTAACACAATAATGTGCACACATTTTTTAATTATTCTATAAATAATATTTTGTTGCCGTTATTTTTAACCAATTATATGCCTGATGTAGGTAAAATGAAACCGAAACTAGTTATCCTTGTTCAACAATAATTATTGCGGTTAAATTTTTTTTTTATTAAAAATACAATGAACAATATTTAAAAAATGTTCTAAATAAAAATACTCACAACAATAACTGCCGATCGAGGCCCTTCAAGGATCCAGTAGTAGTCCAGAAAATAGTAATATTCCCAAGTCCTAGAACAAAACCCCCATTGAAAGTTATTTAATAACTGAAGTTAGTGGAACTTTTAAAATGCGATCATCTTGTAAAGTTCGACAATTTGAAGTATGCTCGCGAATGTACGATTTGGATGGATGCTGTAATTAAATAACTTATTTAATGACAGATAGTTACCTAATGAGATTTTTTATTTGTTTTTTATTTGGTAAATGCAGCTAAAACTAATTTGCATTTGAAGAATAAATGGAAACTAAAAGCTTTAACATGTAGGAAAACTATATTTTACAAATAGAAGGATAAAGAATGAGTAGTTTTTATTGGAAAAAGGTAAAAAATAAAGATAGTCTAAGCCTACTGCTGTTTATAATCATAGTTATGCTTTCGTCATTTAATTTAATGTAATTTATTTTAGTTTTAATAAAGTAATAATTAAGGGTATTAAAATCTCCTACATAAGTTATCCGTCGTGCGAAGAGGTCCCAGTTAAGGTATTACTACGCATTGGTGATAATCAGGGATGCTAAAGGTCAAGATCATACCTGCAGGGCGTTACTGGATAATGATTCTCGGCCAAATTTGATTACCCGAGGGTTGGTTAGTAAATTAGAATTAAATCAAGAGGATGTAAAGGTCTTGATTGTTTGCATTAATCAGGACCCAACATTTGTTGATTTAGAATGTATAGCAGGATTTGAAACAGTTAAAAGTAATTATAGTAATGTTATTTCTTGTTTTGTAGTTTCGAACTCTTCATCAAAAGATCAACATAAATTAGCTGAAAATTCCTTCACATGTAAGTTTGGCAGATCCAGAATTTAATCAACCTGGATCTCTTGTTTGGGGTGTATATATTTTATAATTTATTCAAATATCGTTGGGACAATATTTGCCGATTTTACAAAAAACATGGTTTGGATGGATCGTGCCAGGGTCAGTAAGATCAGCAATAATTGGTAATAAACAGTCATTAAATTGTAATCTGAACATCATGGACATTCACAATCAGTTGGAAAACTTTTGGATGACAGAAGAGCTACATAATGAACAAAACAAACAAATGAGTATGAAAAATAGTGAATGTGAGAAGTTATTTGTGTAAACAATAAGTTTATAGTTCGAATTCCATTGGCTAAGGACATGTCTAAGTTGGAAAAATCTCGTCTAAAGACAATGACTACATTTTTAGCTAGTTGCAGTATATGTATAGGCAATTTTTGAATGAATATATTGCATTGGGTCATATGTATTATTCGCTCCATGATGGGGTCTGGAATGGTTCTACGACCAAACTAAGGGAGTTATTCAATGCATCTGCACCAACAGATACAGGAATGTCCTTCAACGATATCCAATATAAAGCACCACAGTTACAAAAAGATTAGTTCTATATGTTGTTAAGGTTTCAACATAATGTGTGCATAGTGTGCAGGGATGTCGAGAAAATGTATAGAATGATTTAAGTGACACCAGAGCAGAGGTGTTTACAAAAAATATTTTGGCGATCATCCATCACCTGATGATCAATTGTTGGAATACACTTTTAATACTGTAACATATGGAAAAAAATCGTCACTGTGTTTGGCTGTAAGATGTTTGCAGCAGTTAGATAAAATATCCTGAGGCATCGGCTACAATCATGCGTGATTTTTATGTTGACGATACGTTGACAGGTGAAAGTTCTGCGAAAAAGGCAATATTGCTCTGTAAAGAGGTGTCATTGAAGTTGACATCAGGAGGAATGTTACTTCGAAAATGGGTATTGATGTTCAATCAGAGTTTGAAAGAAAAGTTGATGGTGAGCAGTTAAAGTTTGATGACGAGGAATAAGACTATGGTGTTATATTGGAGTTGATGAACTTACGTTTTCAATTGATTTTCCAGTGGAGAATGACAAAAACACAGAAAGGTCAATTTTGTCAGAAGTAACGAAGATATTTTGTTCCGCTAGGGCTTTGAGCTAAGAAAATTGTTTGGGACGATTCATTAGACTATGGTTGGCAACTTTTACCAAAGGAGTTAATTCATTTTAATAATTTTCGTATATTTAGGTAAGTAACGTGTAAGATAGAGATACATGGTTTCTCTGATGCTTTAATTAATGCTTATGGTGAATGTCTTTACCTAAGAAGTGAAAATTCAGAAAAAACCATATTGGAAAAACTATTGTATTCAAAGATGAGAGTGGTTTGGTTGGATTATGCAATAGTTAAATCCTTCTACAAGAATTCTAGTATTTTTTGAAAATAAGATTTCTCAAATCTTAGAGAAAACACAAGCAAATGAATGGAAACATGTCAACAGATCAACACAGAACATATTTTCGCAGATGTTTTATCCTCAAAAAGGTTAATTGGATTGGATCATTAGTGGAATGGTTTAAGTTGGCTAAGACTGCAACAATCAGAATTAAAAGTATAGATTACAAAACAGAAGCCTAGCCCAGATGCAGCCTTAAATTTTGATAAATTAAGCTCCTTGAATAGACTGAAACAAGTGGTAGGTTATTGCATTCGCTTTATAAGGAAGTGTAGGTGCTTTATTAGCAAAATTACAGTATTCATTTGATCTACAAAGTCTCTGTCCATTTCTGGACACAAAAGAACTCCTCAGAATGGGGAGTAGACTTCAATTATCAAATTTGGATTATGCTAAGTGGAAAACATAGACTGGGTCTTCTCTTATTTAAAATTATCCACTATTGCTATTATGTTCCATTACGGAACATTACAGGGTCAAAATTTGGTAAAGACAGTAGTTTATAGGTATGTAACTTGTTTTATTGTTTTAAGGCTAAGCCAGTTCCTGCATGTCAGCAGTTAGTTACCTAAAGAAAGAGTTTAACCCAATCTCCCATTTTTATAACCGGTACAGATTTTGCAGATCCTCTTTCAATTAAAGACAAGTATCGGAGGGGTAGCAAAACTATTAAGTGTTATTTGTCTTTATTCATGCTTTTCGACTAAGGCTGTTCATTTAGAGGCCATCTCCTATTTAACCGCCAATCCATTTTTGACATGTTTACGACGGTTTATCTCCTGAAGAGGTAAACTATTGCGCATTTTGTCAAAAAATTGTACCAATTTTGTGGGTGTTAATTTAGAATTAAAGAAATTTAGAGTTATTAACAAGTTTGGGTACAAATGAAGAATACGAATGAAAATTCATGCATGCTAGCTATCCAAACTTTGGGGGATTATGGGAGACAGGAGTGAAATCTTACAAATACCATTACAATAACTTTTAAAGATTCAGCTACAGTGCTTGCACAAATTGAGGCCGTCCTTATTTCTTAGCTCCCCTCCCAATTATCCTCCTCTCCAAATGATTTAGATACTCTTCACACTCCTTCACATTTTATACAGGGCCGAGGAGTTGCCTCAGTGCCAGACCCAGAAGTTGGAGACATTCCGTTTAACAGACTGTCACGGTACCAGCATCTCCCAATATTTTTGGTCGAGATGGTCGACAGAATACCTGACAGATCTTCAGTAACGAAATAAATGGAGAAAAGAAGAAATTGGTTTAAAAACTAGACAGTTGATAATTCTTAAGGAGAACAATTTACCGACGTTGCAGTGAAAGATGGGAAAGATTACAGATGTAATACATGGACCTGATGTTGATTAAAATAATGTGAAAGTTTTAATGATTACAAAAATCATATTGATACTTTCATATACTTATTTTTTTTTATTTTATTAGGGAATATTATTGAAAATTTTAAATAAAATCTCATTGTGAATAAAATAAAACTTTGAAAAACTAAGACTACATGCACTTAAATAAATCCTGTTTTAGTAGTTTAATATTTTTCACAAACATTTTAAAACGTTAAAAAGAATCAACACTTAGAAATAAAAAAGGGATAGATTTATCTTATTTCCTATTTTTCGTTATGCCTTAAACGAACTTTCATTTAAAAAGCACATTTTTCTGCAGCTTACAACAGAACAACGGTATTGTCCTCTTTTGTTCATGTCATACTACCATATAATCTAAAATCAGCCATATTCAACTGTTGTGTTTTAATTAACCGTACATTTTGTCTCTATGTTAATAACAAAGAATCGAAACAAAAGGTATACAAAGTGGTCCAAAGAAATTATTTATTTTCTGTGCATTAAGTTCTTTTTCAACAATTTAACAATACATATTTTTTTTAAAGAGAAGTATATACATTTTTATACACGTGGTTTTTTTGTCGAAAGCATCTGAAGTTAATAAATGTTAAATACGAATAGTGACTTATTTATTTATTTTTATACATAAAATTTTGTTTTCTTTAAAAAAAATACCATTGGATTTTGATGAAAAACTACTCATAAATCATTGGGGAATCAACCTGTCAAACATTTCTATGCTAAACGTGGCCTGTTACTTATATTTATTTTATTTATCTGGGTAAATTTATAATAAATTGAGATACTTACATTTCTTTAACAAGCATGGCGATCAGCCATCCTGCTGTCATTAACCCCGGCAGTATCCAACCGACGTAACAGTATATTTTGATATAATTGTATTCTTGAAAAACTGTCACAGTTATCATGTTATGTAGATAAAGACCTTCGATAAACATCCATAGAAACATGGCCGTTTTGGCATACTCTAATAGAGCTATGTTAATTTGAAGTAAGTACCCCTGAAAACAAATTTTATTATTTAAAATTAGCGCCTTAAAATATTAATTATATATCTCAATTTCTTACAGAAAAAAAAAGAGTACCATGAATTGAAGAAACTATGAAATGTTATTTTTTATTTCTTTAATTTATAGGTTGATTTTGCTCTTTACAATTAATATGATTTTATTATTACTTAATATATTTAGTTGCAAGGAATAGAAAGTATGGACTTATGATACCTCATTTGAAAGGTATCTTTATTCTCTAGTCAAAAATGCTGCTGTTTTTATATTTATTGCAAACATTAACAATAAAAAATTCCCCTTAATAATTAATAACTAATAGAATTTCCTTCTTAATAATAGGAAAGCCAGCAAAAACAATTTTAATTGCCTTTTTCGACGGTATTAACAAAACAAAAAGACAACATTCTTCATAGTTGGCAAGTTTAATTTTGTTTAAAACACCTTAGCAACTTGCTGCGTGATTGAAACCGCATGACATTAATTGATGTACGTGTCATTTAAATTTATTGACTATAAATCAAAAACGCCTATATCTTAAGAGACAATTAGTGAAATTGAAAAACAATGTCGAGAGCTTGAACAAGTATGTTATGTTATGTTGGAAATAAGGTGTTAATACACTGTCCCTTCTGTCGCTAAGGCAGCAAGGAAATGTCTTCCAATTCTATCTTCTCAACTGTTACGTACTGAAAAATATTATTTTAAATATTTGTACTAAGGAAATAAATAACACAAAACATTAATTTAATTGTAATGTTTTATTCCAATCAAGTCAATACAATAGTTGAAAAATCCAAATTCCGTATATCGAATGATGGTTCGCAAAGCCCCACCTGATACACTATAAAAAGTGACCACCAACACCTTTTCATGTTTAACCCAAAAGTAGCGACAAATATACATATTAAGCATATATTACAAAAGTGTAGGATTTGGATTGGCTTCAATTTAGATAAATCTTCCTCTAATTTGATATGCTTCTAGGTATAGTTGCCCTTGGATTCTGGAGTGCTACACATTAGGTCTTTTCCTTTGCATCGAAAGTGTAGCACTGAGCTACACCACTTCTGAAAATATCGTTCCATTTATACAAATTGTATGGATGGAACAATATTTTTCAGAAGTGACGTAGCTCAGTGCTACACTGTCGATGCAAAGGAAAAGACCTATTCAGTCAGAATGTGGTTTGTGTTTGATGTCAAACGTACTTATAACTATGTAATGTCATACTTTATGTCAATTGTCAACGATCACTTTTTCGATGTCAACATTGACCAAATGTAATATAATTTTTATAATAAAAGTACCTGTAATAAATACAAAGCATCATTAATAAATACCCTCTAAAAATACTTATAATAGTATTAAATCATGGCGCAGTAGCCTGCAGGTTAAATATTGAGAAAAGTAAGATAGGAAAAATCCATAAATATAACCTAAATTTAGAGGTTAGAACACGTCAAATGGAAAACATCGGAGCAGGAGCAGTCAAATTACCTCCCGACTTTCACCTACAGAACCAAAATGCAGCCAGCGAATGGATGTTCCGGAAACAATCATTCGACGACTACTTGATAGCGACTAGATAGCATGAAACGACTGATAAAGTAAAAATATCCATGCTAAGGAACCTGATGGGAACAGAGGCAGCCAAAATAATTTTGACTTTCAATATACCCGCTGCACAAAAGGAAAACTATGGACACTTGATAGAAGTAATAGATAAGTATGTAAATCCAAGAAGCAACGAGTGTTACGAACGGTACAACTTTCTAAAAAGAAATAAAAAAAGAAATATTTGAAAAACTATACAAAAACAAAGAAACCCAAAAAAGGTATTATGATGAAAGCTCGCGTAGGGATAAAATCGAGTTTAAAAAGGGAGAGGAAGTCGTTACGAAAACTGGGAACGAGAAGAGCTAGGAAAAAGCAGTAATAATCGAAAAGGCTAAAGAACCGCGATCCTATTGGATCCGGAAATATGTAAACAATTGAATTGTTCGTAGAAATACAAGCCAAGAATCATTAACTAATACAAACTATTATGACAAATATATCCCAGTTGAACCCACATACTTTGATTACTATACGGTGCAAGAGAGAGGTCCGACACGCCCAACATAGGGCGCGGCCATTTTGATTCCTATGCCACAGTTTAAAGCTAAAGAATCAGATCGCTCACTCTGCGTCGGCACTTTTGATCTCAATGTTCCAGTTTATACACTGCGCAACTCGGATAATACAATATATGACAACCGCCTATAATTAAACAGCAGTCTTCTGCGTATGCTGAATTTGTATCCCTGGAGTGGATGTTATTTTGGAATTTTCAACTGGTCCGAGTGAGCTAACTGATTCTTTAGCAATAAATTGTGACTCCAAAAATAATAGTCACTGACACTGACAGCAGCAAGCAAAATATCAAAAATATTGCGCCAAGATGTAGGCAACACGTAATAAGGGATCAAAATGGCGGAATTTTCTATCTCCTTTTAAAAGGCATTCAGAAAGCTGCGCAGTGCGACTATTCTCCATATAGTAAAAGAAAATCAAAGTATGTGGTTGAACCAAACCCTGACTTGAACGAACCCGAACTAGACATTGACCCAAAAAATGACCTTCAAAATATAAACAGAGAAAATAATATTCAGAACAACTAACTACAAATAAATCACAACTTAAACAGAAACAGAACCACGAGAGTTGGTCGCGAGATAAAAGCACCTACACGCTTGAACCTATAATATACACCTAGTTCAGTGAATGAAAACATTTAGGGGGAAGGTGTTTGATGTCGAACGTACTTATAACTATGTAGTGTCATACTTTATGTCAATTGTCAACGATCACTTCGATGTCAACATCGACCAAATGTAATATCATTTTTATAATAAAAGTATCTTTAATAAATACATAGAATCATTAATAAATACCCTCTAAAAATACTTATAATAGTATTAAAATAGTTTGAGGTTTTGTCCTTCTCTTCACATAATCTTCTACTGCTCTCAGTTTACAAAGGTGTTGAAAATGCCCGGTAAATACCCCTGTTACAATATGTAGCGTGTTTTTGTTCAAGTAGACACTGGCTTCCGATCTGTTCGAGTTATATTCACCCAGAAATATCTTAGCCTGTCTTAGTCTTAAGAGATTGTTCCAATTATCGGCTCTTCTACTGCACAATACTTTTTTAATATCTGAATATTGTGTTATTGCTGATACCGGAGAAAGGCTCAGGACCAACCACAAAGAGTGCGTGAGATTTTTTCTTTGTGAGACTATCTGTAATCTTTACCCTTTACCCCGCTTTGACCCGGGACTCAAGTGAAACTAACTTTAAGCATTTCCAGACCATTTTTGAGCTAATTACGTAAGAGTTCAACGTTTTGATAGCTGCTTAGGCATGATGATAATCTCATGTCCACGATAGTTTCTTTCGATGGATATACTTTTCAATGGAGTGAATTTCCACCTGTAAGATGCTTGGGTATTTCCCCAAACTTTAAGAGTACCTGGGTCTAGGCCCATACACTCCTATTCCAGTTCCTTCTACGGTTTTGGATCTCTCTGTATACTACTGAATAGCATGTCTTTCAGTTGAAAGTACGATGGATCTTTGCCTACATTCTTCCTTGCAGGCCAACTGGTTTTGAAGCTTCTCACAAATCTGTACTTCTTACTTATTTCATTTTGGGGGTATAATCCAAGTATCTTGGGTCCTGAAGCTAATAAACTTCCATCTAATAACTCCGTTCCTGATCATTCTATATCGTGTCCTTTTTGCCAAGTTCTCTATCAATAAATGTAAAGTGGCTAGGTTTAAAAGTGGCTGTGGGACAGGTTCTCATTGTACCGGTAATGCTAGTCTTTGTACTTTTGAGATATTAGCTAAACTAGTATTGTCTTTAGTTAGGCTCCCCATTAGGGTGGAACGAAAAAACTTATTTTCGAATTTGCCAATCCCTGAGTGTGGAATAGTTGCCTTTATAGACCCTTATTATTCACCTTAGTTTAAAAAAATAATATTTTCAGGTTCCTTTTTGATTTTGAAATTTTACTATTACAAGAAAAAACCTTCTTTAGGATTCGGACTGCTCCGAGATATCCGAATTATGTGTGATAGTAATTCGTTCCATGCCCGCTGAAGTAGAGTAAAAAATATTCCATCCATACCTACAAAATTAAACTGTTCAAAAGTGTGTATGGCCCATTTTACCCATTACTGCTGTATATGTGTTTGGCCACCACAGCGTCCTCTTTTGAGGACCTGCTTACCTTTGTGTGCCTTATTAGAAAAGGCGTGCTTCGAGAAAAGTGAGTTTCGTGTAAGAGGCGAGCTCTTTCCTCCTCACTGTCCGTGAAGCTTCGATTTGGTTTCTTTAATGCCATATAACTGTATAAACCTTCCCGTGTTCCAGGGCCTTATGCAGTCTCGCTGCTGCAGGTGGAGAGAATCTCCCCGCAGAATTTTCTGAAGCTGTTACGTTTAGCTTTCTTGATTTTTTGTAAGTGCCTCGGTGTGGCTCTGCTATTCTCTTCTCTGATTGACCCTATTATAGAGTTTTCGCACTCCAGATTGTAAGTTTGACAGATGACGGTTCCACCAAGGACTTCTATTTATTTGACAAGGGCAGCTTGATTCATATGCCTCAAGTATTGCCTCATTTAAATCTTCGAGATCACGTTTTGTCTGGATACGTGGTAAATTTTGTTTTAGAATGGTGTTTTTTTAGAATTTCTCCTGAGGATTATCTCAGGAGTGTCGCTTTCTAATGTAAACGCAATTATCCTGTGATTAGATAGAATTGGATCACTCGATAGTCTTCAGTTTGTAACTAGATCTTTAATGTTCGGTGTACTTAATGTGATATCTAATACCTCACTGCTTGCCTTAACTACAAATGTTGGAGTATTCCCAATATTTTGTATAGTAAGGTTCTTATCAAAAATATATTCTAGAAGTTACTCACCTCTTTGATTGGTATCGTTGCTAACTAGAAGATATTACTATTTATTGTTGCCCTATAAAAATTCGAGGTATGCTCAAATTGGGACGAGATCACCTGTCATGAATTCCGAAAGACAAGAATATTTAATATTATTTCTATCGTGAGGAGGCAAAGGAGTGTAAGTCAAAAATTTAGAAGCTGAGTAAATCTATGTTATATGTCTTATAAGTCGACCTATACTGATTTTCCAACTAAATTAAGGTATTTTTGTAATTTATATTATGAAGTCCAAGTATAGATGACTGAAACTAATTTACCCAAAATTTTGACTTAACTTCATTGCCCACACACAATAGAATTATTGCCATAATGCAAGTTCTGGGTACTTCATTACTAGTGTGAAAAATTACCCTTGCATCTTCACATGCGAATTCCCTTACTTGGTTTTTATAGGCCCACGGATCCTGGATCAGTACGATCCCTAATTGGTGTTTAGTGACTGTCCTGGAGATCACAGATGATGCGCCCTTAACATGATAGAATTTACGTGGGCGATCTTTATGCCCGCCATCTTAATTCCCATCAATGAGGGTGTCGTCCCCACTGATGCGGGTGTGTTCCATGTCCCCCTCTTCTGTTTTTTCTTCCTTACTATATTCTTAGAAGAGTCTGGGTAGAGAGTTGAGAAGCTCTCAATGTTCTCTGTATTATATTCATCGTTGTACGTCCTTCTGGTTCGTCTGCTTCATTCTTCTTTTGAAGACCATGTGTGGGATTTTCCCAAACCGATAATGGATAGCACATCCATTATCTTCGATCCTCTGGCAGGAATATATGACCTATTATCTATTCGTGCCCTGAGGATTTGGCCTTTGCTCTCGTCTCTCCTACCGACATTCTACAGCGTGGTTAATAGCCCCACATGCTGTGCTTCTATTAACTGCAGAAGCTTTTCCACAGTCTGCCTTCGACTCCTTGAATGATCAACACGATCATCTGATCTTACGTCATTAGACTTTTTATTATGAAGATATGTGGAAAATATGTAATACAAAACTGAACCCCAAGATTAAGCTTTAAAAAGAAGGATAACGATGGCGATTACGTCGGTCATGCCTTAGATGTTGATTAACGTCAGAAGAAAATTTTATTTACAATTAGAATGCTGCCAGAACGTTCGAGGTATGCATTTTGAACAACTCCTACATTAGCATTAATGTTTTTGTTATTTTTTTACATTATAAAGAACGAAACTCTATCACTAATAAATTTTTTTACTGTTAATTTTTGCAATAAATTTAAAAACCACAGCATTTTGGAATTTGGGGGTCGCAACTTAACAGGAGTCAATTTAAAATAAAAAATAAACTCACCGTGTTTAAAAATTTTTTACTTGGTTCGAACTCTTGGTCAATATATTTCACTAACCTAAATATCACTTGTAATAATGTAGCTATAAATAGGTTTTTATGTATTTTTGTTCTATTATTCTTGAGAACTCTGAAAAAAAAAAGATTGTTCTATAATTATTTAAAAGTTTATTAATAATTCTTTAGTTAGTTTAAAATAAAATACCCTTTATAGATTTAAACACTAATCAAAATAATCTAAGGAACAAATTTAAAACATTTATGTTCACGGAAGATTTGTATTTTATGATTGTTGGTACAGTTAACTTAGCGAAGTTTATAAATAGACCTGAAATATGTTTTTAAACCAGCGTGTTTTACTTTTCATTGACTTATCCCAGAAAGAAACATTAATTAATTCCTGAACTAGATTATTGAAAAGATATCTATTGTTTTATACCAACAAATAAACAAACAGTAAATTTTGTAATTGTTCCTTAGATTATTTTGATTTGTTTATTTTTTAGGGATTAATAATACTTACCGATATGTAAAAAATATGTATAATGATATAATTAGAGAAACTAAGGAGAATGATAATCCAACCATTTCTATAGTTCTTGTGATTCTAGCAACCTGAAATGTAAAACAAATTTTTAGTTCACTGTCAATATTTGGTATTTGGCATAACAAAAAATAAAAAAATATGCTTGTTTCAAAAGCAGTCATTAATTTACGAAAAATTTATACGAAATATTCTAATGAAAATTGGAGTTTTCTTATGTTTTTCGTTTTAAATTTCAGCTGTACATTCTGCTTTTAGAACTACCTATTGAAGATAGTGATTATACAGGGTGTCCTTTAAAATGTGTCCCAAAATTCTCAGGCAGATTCCTTAACCAAAAAATGGAAAAAAAGTTCCTATAGACCTATGTCCTAAAGTGCCCCCTAAGCGAGCAACAGCCTCTCGAAATCATTTTTTTTATTTTGATTTTTTGAATTTTCTTAAAAATGGAAACAAATAAAAGAACCAAATTTTGGCTGTTAAATATGATCAATAATAGTGACCTTTTGACACCTTCAAAAAGAAATTATTTCGTCAGGGGTGTACTTGGGAATTTTTTGAAAATTTTGATTATTCATAACTTTTTTGTGTTTTTGGTAATGACTTATCCATATTTTTTTTTACATTTTACATTGAAAACTACGTCAAAAAGGAATACTTGTTTGATCTCGATTGGAGCAGCCGTTTCCGAGAAAACATCATCCAAAGATATTCGTCCACTTTAGCTTAATTTTCAATTTTCCTAAATTACCTCGGTGAATCTCGTAAATAAAAATAACTTTTTTAGCTCTCTCTAAATAATTGTAGTTCAAATGTCGTGGTGGGACTATTTTTATTTAATAATAAGAAACGGTTTAAAAAAATATTTATTCTAAAAAAACAAATCAAAAAAAATTAAAGCAGATGCTCAATGTGGCGACCATTGGTTTCCACACACAAGCGCAACCGTCGCATCATAGACTGTCTTACACGAAAAAATACTTCAGGATTATTCCTAAGAACTTCGCAATGATGAAAAACTCGTTCTTCCAATTCTTCAACTGTTTCAACAGGACTGGAATAAACCAATGATTTTAAATAACCCCAAACAAAAAAATCCATTGGATTTAGATCTGGTGAACGAGGTGGCCAGTTAACAGGACAACCTCTGCCAATTACTCTACCCTCAAATCTTTCGTTAAGGTGCTGTCTAGCTTCAAGGCTGTAATGTGGTGGAGCTCCATCATGCATAAACCACATGTTATGTCTGATTTGAATCGGAATATTATCAAGAAGCTCATGTAAGTTATTTTCCAAAAAAGCCTGTATGCTGCTCCATTTAACCTATTCGGCAAAACAAATGGTCCAATAAGGTAATTATCAATAACTCCAGCCCAGACGTTTATTGAAAATTTATCCTGGTGGTGACGTTCAACAACCGCGTGAGGGTTATCTTCAGCCCATTCATGCATATTTCGAAAATTTATTATACCATCTCTAGTGAAACCAGCTTCATCGGTAAATAGCACTTTATTAAGAAACATTGCATCTTGATTACATCTTCCAAGAAACCATTCAGAAAAGATAACTCGCGGCTCATAATCAGTAGCTTTAAGTGCCTGAACTTTTTGAATGTGGTAAGGGTACAATTGTTGTTCACGCAAAACTTTCCATACCGTGTTACGTCCGACTCCCACTTCTGAAATTAAATGAGAGAATCTGTGTAGTGAATAGTTAAGAAAGAGAATCCATTGATTTGGGAAATCAGATTTTTTTCTGCATAACGCAACTCTTTTCGATACGAAAAGTCGTGAAATGTAAGAGAAGCAATAACAAGTAAAAAAACTAGTTTTATACGATAATGTACGGGGTAGCTAAAATAATAAATAAGTAATTACTTACCATTTGCTATTTTTCTGGTACTTGTCGATGGGGTTTCAGCTACCCTATCCAAAATTGCTTCTTCCAAAGCAGGAGTTCTCACATAATTTTGTCTTCCACTGTTACTAGAGTTTTTCTTAAATGTACCAGTTTCCCGAAGTCTATCGTCAATTCTAGAAAACGTCTTAGCGCATGGAAGATGCCTATTTGGAAAGCGCTCCTGATAAAGTCTGCGAGCTTCATTGGCATTTCCAGAAGCGAGTCCAAAACATAAGTGCATGTCCGTCATTTCGCCGAATGTGTAATCATTATTGTAGTTATTGTGAGCCATTTTAAACAAAATAATAACAATACAACGAATCGCACCAGAACACTTTTAGAAATAATGTTTAACTGAAGAAACATTTTTATCAGTGAGCGAAAAAAATTATCCATGAAACACAAAAACGCCAAAAAAATACATATTTTTACTTTTTCATTCTAAACAGCTAAATACAAACCTTATGGTCTTCATAATAAATAAATGGGAACTAAATTTTTAAATTTTATTTAGAGAGCTAAAAATAGTATACAGGGTGATTGATTAGTGTGAGGAAGCTCTGTAGATCTGTTATAATAAAAGTAGGCAGCTTTAAGCTTCACATTTTAAAATTAGTTACGATGTGACAGGGTGTTTCATAAGGCCGTGCCAAATCAAAGTTATGTTTTTTAAATGGAACACCCTGTATATTTTTATATTTTTAGAATCTGATTTCAATGATATATCACACTTGTTATCTAATATGAATAGTAAAGGATCTACAGCTACTCAAAAATCACATTTTTTCAAATTCAGGTGGCTGTTGTAGCCAAACAGTTGGAAATCGAGGAAAACGGCTTACAGTCCCTATCCTAACTTTTTAAGGTCTATTCAGTGACATAAAATACATATTATTTGATACAGGGTGATCAAAAATCCAAAATCACATCCGATTTTTGATCACCCTGTATCAACTAATATTTTTTGCCACTGAATAGACCTTCAAAAGTAAGCCGTGTTCCTCGATTTCCAACTTTTTGGCTACAACAGCCAAAATTGAAAATTAACCTAAACTGCACGAATATCTTTGGATGATGTTTTCTCGGAAACGGCTGCTCCAATCGAGATCAAACAAGTATTCCTTTTTGACGTAGTTTTCAATGTAGAATGTAAAAAAAAATATGGATAAGTCATTACCAAAAACACAAAAAAGTTATGAATAATCAAAATTTTCAAAAAATTCCCAAGTACACCCCTGACGAAATAATTTCTTTTTGAAGGTGTCAAAAGGTCACTATTATTGATCATATTTAACAGCCAAAATTTGGTTCTTTTATTTGTTTCCATTTTTAAGAAAATTCAAAAAATAAAAAAAAAAAATGATATCGAAAGGCTGTTGCTCGCTTAGGGGGCACTTTAGGACATAGGTCTATAGGAACTTTTTTTCCATTTTTTGGTTAAGGAATCTGCCTGAGAATTTTGGGACACATTTTAAAGGACACCCTGTATTTTATATTAGATTGCAATATCTCTTGTACAAACGAGATTGATTTTTATTTAAAATATATGTACATACAAAGTATTAATAATTAGCGTTGTCAATTTCAGATGATGACGTCAGAGGAAGAAATAAGTATACTCTTATAGGAAAATAATTACCAATCATTAGGTATTGACTTATGGCTAACTAGAAGGAAATTAGGGATAGTCTTAGGTCATAAATACCATAATGACTGTTTGCATCGTTAATGTACTCGTAATTTACCTCTTTACACGTTGTTTGTCCAAATTCGTCACACATTTTAAGTAAATCTTGTAATTGGGATAACAGGCAATTTTCGTAATGTGTGTACGTCAAATTTGAAGAATTTTTCGTTTCCCACGTTCCTCCAACGAAGCAGTATCTGTATGCAATGCCTGAAATAAAATAATACATGCTTAAATATGTTTTAAATTAACTCATAACAATATAGGATATTATCTTGGAAACATTGCAGCAAGATAATTAAAGCAGCGAGAGTTAAGGATAAATTATTTTTATTATTTATGTTACAACTGAAGGATTATGTTTCAAGCCTATTCGTTGAGTTGAACTTTGCCCCTTGCTTATGTTTTTATATATATAAATATTATTTTAATGCAGAATTTAATGTAAAAAAGGTAAATAATTATGTTTTTGAACATTCTTCAGAACTATTTGCTTTTTTTTCAGATAATTTATTTCTAGTTTACGTTTAAGGTTATTCTGTTTCCTCTTAAGGTTTTTGAAATAAACTGAGAAGGACTACTAGCAGAATTTAAAATATATGCATCATGATCTGTAAATATATTTTTTTAATTTATTTATTAAATTTAGTCGTATCCACCAGAAGGTTATTATATAATAATTATCATCTAAGACCAAATTTAAAATAACATTTCTCTAGATTTCACATAGGCAATTATAGGCGTCAAAATAGTATATTAAAGTATAAGTGGATATAACGGTCTTTAAAACACGCGCGATTTTTCGAGCACGACGGCGCAGTCGGAGTGCTCGAAATTGAGCAAGTATTTTAAAGACCAGTTATCCACAAATACTTTATGCTATTTGTTTTTATTGGTATACTTTGAAATCCTAAATATTGGTATTATTTCTACAAAAAAATGGAAATAAGAACTAATAAATGAAAATGGTTGAATTTGTGATGTAACATCAGTATACCTCGTTGTCATGAAAATAGGACAAACAAAAATTTATTTTCAATCTGTCACGTAAGATTAATTGTCGCAACAGTTGTTATAATAAAGCAGAATCGCGCTTAATACCACAAAAATCCGAAGCGGTTTATAAAAAAGATACGATAAATTCAACACGTGGATGGAAGAGCAAATGGTTACACATATAGATGAACGAGTTGTTCTCGCTTATCTCCAGAAAATGTCGGAACATTATAAAGTATCGACTATGTGGACTATCCATTCAAAATTACAAAGTATGTTGAGAATAAACAAAGGGGTCGATATAAAATCGTTCGTCAAAGTGCATGCATTCATGAAGGCAATTAGCAAAAATGAGGTAGTCAAGAAGGCATATGTATTCGAGGAAGACGATTTGCGGAAGTTTTTTACAGATGCACTGGACATTACGTATTTATTTTTGAAGGTGGTTGTTATTTGTGGCATCTTTGGCTCTTGTAGAAAATATGAATTGTGCGATTTACGCTTAGCTGATAAATACATTTTTTGACAAATTTCTCAGAAATATTTTATTTGCCATTACAAGGCACTCCTGTCAGATCAATATTTAAAAAGTTGGCATTTAGACATCACGTTTCTCGGGTTGTTGATGTTGCCATGGTAACTTTAAAACGCGCGTTTTCTAAAGTTCGTTTTAAACACGCTGAGGCGTACTTTAAATAAGTAAAATAGGGTACCAATAAAAAAAAGACAGTTACGAAGCTAGATATTAGTGAAAAATTATTATACTAGTGTAAATTTACTGTAATTTTACATATGAACACACATACTTCCTTTAACAACACCTTCCATTTTGGGACAGAACTGTGTGACATTAGTACCAGGTGGAGTGCTTGGCCAGCACAGATAAATATCACAATTGTGCGGACACCAACCTGTAACAAACAAAAACGAATTATCAATATAATTTTCTTCTAGTAATGATTCGACATTATCTGTCTATTATATTATTATTGCATCAAAATCTCGAAATATTAAGTTCATCTCTTATAACAATAAAGTGTTTATATGAATTAAAATAGCAAATAGTGTTTTATTTTAAAGTCTAAAGCAGCAATCAATATCACAAATTTCTAGTGCAGTGGGTATTTCTAGCAGCAATGGTTTCCTAATTTTACATAAACACAAATTCCATCCTTATAAAATTAAATTAGTGCAAGTACTATTTCGACCTCTTCTAGTTTTGTGAATTAATGAGTCAGCGCAGCGACTTGTTTATCTGCTTTTTCGAGAAATTACCTTTGCACTAAATGATTTAGTAAACAGACATAATTATTGTAGATACTGGGCAGAAAATGAACCTCTAATAATACGGGAGTATCTACACTGAGTTACATTCTTTAGAAATCTGAATATTGGAAAACAATACCATTAAATAGAGTGAAATACCTGCTATGCTGGGGTGACTACGATAATAAAAAGGGTTAAAAAATTATTGTCCTTTGCAGGGTGAGCCACAAATAAATAAGGACATGTTTTTGATAATTACTTTTATTGTTCTAGAATGTGAAAATATTTGCTAAAAAATAAATTATTGCTATATTTATCATATTTAATGATATTCAAAAGATATTAGGTGCCATTTATACAGGGTGATTCATAAATATGGACATAGGCTAATATATTAATATGAAACACTGTATTTTTACGGGACTTTTGAGTATTTACCATACGAGTATGTATAATTATTCAATTCATTGACTAAAGGGTGATTTAATTAATATATTGACAGTTAATTTATCGAATGTGTCAAAGAACAATTTTTTTAAGTATCCTATACTTTTTAATTACCCCTGTAAAAGTATACATATTTTTTCACTTTGGTATCAGTATCATAGAAGATATTTTCCAAAATTATATATTTTTTCTATGATTGGTTTTTGATATACAAATTTAAAGTAGATGGTTTTCCTTTAAATTATTTAAGGTAAGATGGTCTTCATTTAAATTCTTTGTATAGCGACTTTATATTGGCAAACTTACGACCTATATAATAAAATTCGCATTCTATTCCTAGTAACGCGATATTCTATTTTCCTCAAGTGGATTAAAATATTTAATCCGTGTCTTTATCGGTTAGATTTAGTACAGAACACTAGCTTTATCTTTGTCGGTTATCTATCCCGTATAGAACATTATTTTCTTTAACCGATTCACTCACAAAACGATTATATTATAAACTAACAAAGAGTTCTAACTAAATTAAATATTTGATTTCATGCAAACAAGTTGCATCTTAACTCTCAAAAATGCAAGTTTTCCAAACAAACACTCCAATAACTTTAATTTTATTTACCCAGACGCTCCACTTGAGAAAGTTGAGACAATTAGGGACTTGACAAGAAATTAAGTTTTTTTTTTATCTCATTTGTTCAACATTACATCAACAGTCAAAATAATTTAAAATGTAGAACTTCGTTTATAGTCGAGGCATTGAAGCAAAAAAGTTCGGAATTTTTTACACTAAATGGTAGGATTCTGGGAAATATTCTATAAGCTACAGAATCTGTAAGGTATAGTAATGTAAATGTTCTGTGAATGCTCCAAATAAAGGAAAACATATTATAATATTACATTCCGGTAATGAAAAAGATTTTGTGTAGAATTGCTTGTTATTATCAGCAAAGGATATTTTGAGTTGTTCAGTAGATTACCATCTATATTATGACATCTACCTTGTTCGAGAAATGGTTTAGTAAACAATTAATTCCTAATTTGCCACCAAATGCTTTTATAGTAATGGATAATGCCCCTTACCACTCTCGTCAAACTAGTGAAATTCCAAAAGCGAAAGATCGAAAAGAGGTAAAGTCTATTCAGATTTCATTTACGCCGCGTCAAAACAATTTCTCCCATCCAGCAACAGCTCACGTGACATTTTTTTGCGCTTCTATTGGTTAATCGGTCGTTAGTCATTTAGACGACGCGCAAATATTTTTTGTCAGAGTCGAATTCGGTTCAATTTGGATAATTATGAACTGCGTTTTGGTAGCATTCACCGTGTTGGTTAGTTTGGACATTTTGTATGTTTGATTATAATTCATTATATTATAGTTTAGATATACATATATTGTGTTATTTATTTTTTTTGTTTTTGTGGTTGTTGTTAGTTTGAACATGTTTTACTCTATTTTATGGACATTTAATTGACTGTATTTTGTAATAGCTGCGTGACACTATGTCCTCCACAGATACAGCAGATGAAGTCCAGAAAAATGTTTTTACTCCTTCTAAAAAGCGACTGAAAAAGGGACATTTGGTCATCCGTACTAAAGAAATGGTTCTTAATATTTATAAGCATTAAATTTTATAGAACCCTGATATGTTGGTACATGATGTTGAAAGGAGAGTTGCTGATAAAACAGGGATGTGCGCTAAAACCGTTTTTAATGTTATGAAGGAGTATAGGCAGATTCATAAATTTTCTGAACCAAAAAGAAAGCTACGTTATAAACAAATTAGTGGACCTGTGGATGATTTTGATAAAAATGCAATAAGGCGCAAAGTACATCAATTCTTCTTTAGAAATTAACTTCCAACAATTGATAAGGTTTTATAAGAAGTCAACGATGATCCATATTTGTCTACTTTTAAGCGAGCTACATTTTACAAGCTTTTCAAAACCCTTAATTTTAACTTTAAAACTCGAGGAAAAAATAGTTTGCTTTTAGACAAAAATGAAATTGTTTCGTCCTACGCCACAAAAAATAAAACGGTACAGAGAAGAAAAGCAAAAAATATATTATCTTGATGAGACTTGGATTAACGCAGGCCACACCAAATCAAAAGTATGTTTTTTTTTTCTCTCCTGGGCTCGTCTGACTATGTGTCTCCGAATAACACTGAAGCCTATTGGCTTATTGTGTTTTACCCCATGTTAGTTCATAGCACCCACTCTATCACCTTTGTACCTTGTACAAGTTTGTACAGATCCTTGAGTGAGTGGGTTCTATACGTTGTTGGATCAACCTGGGGTTGTCCAAAAAGAGCCTGTCTTTTGCGATCTAGAACTTCGCATTCGCACAGTATGTGTTTGGCCGTTTCTGGTTTCTTGTGACATAGTCGGCACATGAGTTCCCCATTGTACATGCCAATTTTGTTCAAGTGTCCCTTTACTGGGGCGTGCCCAGTCATGAACCCTGTTATCACTTTCAACTGGTTCCTATTTATTAAGAGTAGTTCTCCAGTTCTTTTGGGACATGGTCTGCCTATGAAGGCTTTTCCATGTGCCTGTTTTGGGGTGCTTCCCTAATAGTTGATATGTTGTTCCCGAATTCAGTCATTTATAAAACCCCGAACTGTACTTTTTGGTACTCCTGGGTTTGTGTCTGGTTCCGGTGTTTCTTCTGACCCTCTTTTTGCAAGTTCGTCAGTCTTTTCGTTGCCTTCGATCCCTTTGTGACCTGGCACCCAAAATAGTTTTACTCTATTACGGTCTGCCAGTGTTCTTAGTTCTTCGATGCATTCCCATACCAGCCTCGACGTAACTTTCTGACTCGATATGGCATTAAGTGCCGCTTGGCTGTCTGACATTATTTGAATATGCTGATTTTCGACAGCTCTTTCATTGTTCGTTTTTGCACATTGCAAAATTGCGTATACCTCGGCCTGAAATACCGAGGAATGTATTCCTATGTTTCGATATGTCGGTTTTTTCATCCAGACAAGCCTTTTTGGATGAACTTTTAACTGGTTTTAAAAACCCATCAGGTACGTGCGTAAAAACAGGTCATTATATGCCATATTGGAAGTGAAGAAGGCTTTGTCTCTAATGCACTTTATGTATTTGAGTTGAAAAATCCGGTGACTACCATGAAGAAATGTGTGGAGAATCGTTCAAAGAGTGGTTTTCAAACACCCTACCAAAATTAGAAGATAACTGCATTACTATTCGAGAAAGCTGGAAAAAATATCTACGACGTCTAAAAAAGGTGATATTTAAAAATGGCTATAAGGGAAAAAAATTTAATTCGACTACCAAGATTATTTAAATAATAGCATTCTCAGCCGAGGTATATATAGAATTTTTTTTACTACTAACATTAATATATTAGCAATTTTAATTTTGACATAAGTAATTTCCTAACAATTTGTTAAATATTTCGAAATATCAAGCAGACTCGAGCGTGTTTCTAATTAGACTGGCTTTATTTATGTAAAAATTCAAATTAATGAAGCAAATTTTAAAATTTTTTGCAAAGTTGAATAAAGAATAAAACCCCCTTTCAAATGAGCTATTACTCACCACCCCATGCCATTTAAATTTTTCGAAAGAATTGCTCATACAAAAATGTACATTGTAGAAATCAAAAATCGACGTGTCTCGGCGATTTTCCTAACAAGACTCCAATAACGATTTAGATAGGCACTAAAAATGTTCGATAAACTTTAATTTATTATTAAGTAGGTACAATTATTGTTTTTAATAGAATTTTAATTTTTATTTGGTTACACTTTTGAGACCTGATTTCAACGTAATTTTACTGTTCTTGGTTTCTGGTTTCCTTGAGTTTTGCTTAGACTATTTATTCTTGCGGATCTTTTAACATTTGTTTCACAATTGTCAGTTACATTTTTTTTTTCTATTTAGCTCATCATCGAGTTTTCCGGATTCGAATACCTCTTCTAGTTCTGAGTTTATCTGATCTTCAATATTACTTTCTTCTGTTTTGTCCGTGTCTTTTATTGGTTTTCTACTATTCACTATTTCACTATCTGATGTTCCTTCTCGTATGTTTTGTAATTGTTCTTGTTTCAGCTGTTGAGGTGTAGGTATACTTCTTTCCATTTACATAGAGATTATGATTTTTGATGTAGCCGTTCCTGTAGTTGGAGTTACGATTCCTCGATAAGTGACAACAGTTTTCTTGTATATT